ATCCCTTTTTCTATAGAACGTCCCCCATTCCTGTGCTTCAACCGGCCACTTCAAGCTGGTCGCCCCCGTGATGACTGCCACAAAAAGGGGGGACAATTCGTCTAATTTCGAAGGGCCCTTCTCTGGGCCCTTCTCCAGCCCCAATCGGCACCGACAAATGGGCCCTCCAACAGCGCCCCCGCAGATTTGGCCAATTTGCAGTGGCGCCCTTCCCCGCTGCTCCAATTTGTCAACACACAACTTTTTCCGGGCTACCGTAGGCCTTTCAAGTCTTTTGCAACTTGGGTTTTTTTGGTGAGTGTATACTATGGGTGCAAACGAATTTATGACCTTGTCATTTATTCAACTCACTTAATTTTTTTAGCTTTTAAAAGCTATTATTAATTTTATTTTGAAATTTTTACTTTCCAGGGTCCTGTACCTCATCCTACTATATATAAAAAAATAGTGTTTGTGTGTGTGTGTGCCACTTTGCATCCACTTCCGGATGTCTGTCCGGAGGATATCTCGATAGGGGATGAATTTTAAGGTATCCTATCCTATAAGCGAGAAAAGTATGTCTGTTTTCTGTTCAGCCGATTTCTCGGCCGCCAAGCCGAATTTCCGGCTGATTTTTGGCATGGAGGTAGAGAAACACATTTGTCAGTGACGCATTTTTGGTTTGGCGAAATTCCTTCATTTTACGATTTTACAAGCAAAATAGTGAAAAATCCTTAACATTTTGCCCAAAAAAAGGTATGTCCGGAGGTTTTCTCGGCCGCCAAGAGGAGCTGGGCTCTGTGTTTTGGTGGGTGAGTGGTAAAAGCAATTATCCCGATACTATTTTTTGGATTTTGCCTAATTCCTTAAAACAAAGTTTTTATGAGCTGTTTACTAGACGGTCCTTAATAAAATGGCCACAGTCCCGTGGTGTTCGGGGCATAACTCGAATCCCAGATGGAATCTTGGGCTGTAATTTGGTCTACTTATCTATTCGATGGTGGGGATCACGCGCATCTTGGTATTTTTACAAATATTGGGCGCATTCAGACTCAAAAAGAGAATTTTGTAAAGTTATCAGAAGTCCTCTCTCCCGGGATGAGGCGGCCCCCAGGACAGAAGAGGCCTTTCCCGCTGTCAATCGCCGCGGCCCCTTGGTGGATTGGATTGGCGTCCGGTCTAACAAACGCGTGGTCGGGGTTCGAATCCGCAGGGAATTTAACTTTTTGCTTTTTGGCAGTTCAACAACAAAACATATTTCTAGGCTCTCGGTGTGCGAGTTTTAGGACCGGGCCCTGGCTCTGCGCCGGAGGCAGAAGGTACTTGGCCCAGGCTCTGGCGCCGCAGGCCCAACGATGGTTCCTTGACCCAGGCTCTCGCGCCACAGGCCAAATCCTGGAGAAAACCCAGTAGCTAGCGCCGCAGGCTCAAAGATTCTGGCCCGCGCTGGCTCCGGCGCCGCAGGCAAAGATGGTTCCTTGAGTCGGCTCTTGCGCCGCAGGCTTCGATAGGGAGGGAATTCTGATTCCTAGCGGGGTCCAGTGGAAAGGGCCGCGAAGCGGTCTTTTTCCACTGGTGTATGATACGTCATTAGATGCGTAATGGCCTGGAGATGACTGCACGCTTACCAGATTCAACAAAATCACCTATTTTCGACATTAAATTTAAGTTTTTGTGACAACCTCTTTGTTAGGAACAATTAGCCTGGACCGGAAGCTGGGGATTCGACTATTTAAAGGGGCTCAACCGGTAGTTTTTCATTTTTTGTCATCTGAATTCAGGGAAATTATGCAAAGTGAAGGATAAAACGGGGTCAGACGGGGCCAGGGTTGAAAAGTCGCGAAGCGGCTTTTCAACCCTGGTAAATTTTTAAAAAAGCAATTTTTCCTCACCAGCGAACGCTTCCCTAGCAGCAATAAGATTTACATGCAAATTTATTCAAGTCATGCGGCCATAGCCTGAGAAAATGACCACTTCCCATATTCTATGAAGCCGCGAGGACTGGTTTGCCAAATTCTGATCTCGTAGAGATCAAAACACCAATAAAATCCACAAAACTCAACCTTATTTCCGGCAAGAAAAGCGAACATTCAAGCGTTTACCTTCCCTCCGTTACTCACCAATTTCAAAATACTATTGATAGCTACGTGTAGTTGTGAGCGACATTGGTTGTGCCGCGCTTCTTCCCCGTGCTTTTGCTCAATGTTGACTCAAAGCTTGAATGCGGGTCGGGCCCGAGAAGCTTCTCCCCCCTCTTTTCAACCACCACGACGAGCCGATCATCGCCTTGAAACAGCCCATCGATTGACCATTCCTTTAGGGGATTCTATACATTTTTATTTATTGCTTTAGCTACCCATTCTTGTTGTAATCTGGCGGATTATTTGGTTGGAAAAATGGGAAAGGATCGGCTTATAGTTCTTGGGGGATAATCCGATCTGGTTATAGATGTTTTTTAAGGTCGTGTAGGTATGTGCATATTGTAGGAAATTCTCGATGTGTTAACGAGCTTCGGGTTGTCTGAAAACTTCCAAAATTTTGCATTCCACGTTTGCCTATCTTTCCTCTTTTTAGAAAGTATGGTTTTCGAGAATATAACCTTGAAAAAATGCTTTCGGAGCAGAGATTTTCATAGAAAAGGATCTCGAGTTGCATCGAGCTAGAGTTGTATTTGCCGTATAGCACAAAAAACTTCTGCCTCCCCCATCACTAACGTTGCCCAATTTATCCATCTCATTCACCCTAAAAGGCACATGCATAGAAAATTGTGCTCCCTCCCCACCAGCTAAATAGCAGGTAAGTGAGCCCAAACCAACCCACCCCCTTGCCCCTGGAATTGGATAAGGATGTTTCGAATGGGAAAAGAGCGACGCTCGAAGATAGTAGTGTAGTGGAATTGGGGGTTGGAATGGCCCGTGCAATGGCCCACTGGTCCCCCGGTCCAGAAGACCCAGAATCCCCCAAAAATACCCGACGACCCGCCGGGCTTCGGCCCTGAGAAATTGCAATTTTGGCGAGCCGCCGTGGATGGGGGGTGAGGGGCCATGTCGTCCGGTTGGCCTAATCCGGGCCGATCCTTCGCTCCGGTCGTCGAATCTCCTTTTTTACCTAAGCCCCGGCCGCAAACAGGATTTGGGTTTGGTTACAAGATTTTTAAATGCCACGCGGCGGTTTTTTGGTAGAGATATTTGATGCATTTAATTTTGTAATTTTAACTAATTTCCATTTTTTCCATATTTTTTTCCGCAATTCCATTCCATTATAGTTAAGATTGGTTGTTAAGGCTTAATTTTTGGCTGGAGGAGTGTTTTAAGGGACTAAATTTTATATATTCATAAATGACCCAGAGAGATTTAATGGCAGCTCGCAAAGTTGAATTTATAACGACTTTAATGAATAAAATTGTTTGCTATGATAAAATAACAGGTTTAAAACAAAGTATCTACTTCGTAAACCTTCCGATGGCATGGTTAAATGGTCACAAGCTTTTCACTTTCGTTATCGGTAAATAGAATTATTAAACCTATCTCCATGAATCCTTGCAAATCTGCAGGTTTTTTTACGCTTTATAATTTTTGAATCCCAGAAGCCCTTGAACAGTCTGAGATTAAAGAAACCCTAAACCCCAGATCCTGCTCGGGCGGAACAAGCGAAACCCTACAATCTGGAACGCCCACTACAATCTCTCGCAATATAACCAATTATTTTTGCCTACAATTTCCTTAGATTTATCCGGTCAACAAATCTCTGCCCCCAACCCTCCCCAGTGCTTTTAAACTGAGTTGTAGTGTCGTAAGCCATTCTGGCGGAATGGCCGCCCAAATTGGACCAATTTCCCCGGCACTCCCCCTCAACAGAATGCGCATTTATAAGGCATTTTCGGTGGTTGTTTGGGTTTCGAAAGTTTTTGGGGGTATTGATTGAGGTGAGATTTGCTATAATTTTGTAGTTTTGAAGTTGCTTACGTAAAAGTGGCTGGCAAAACCATGGCTATAGCTTCCTTTGTCTAACCTCTTTTACAGCACACAACTTGCATGGTTTGCTGCCCTAATTTCGAGATTTATAATACCGAAATTTGGAATGTCAAAATTTACTTACATTACATTACTTACATTTTTTTGGATAGGATACGCGGTTTCTCCAAGGAACTTGCTTAAGTAAATTTCGAAATTATGAGTTTTCGAAATTTTGATTTCGAATTATAGAAACATTATGTAATGTCGACGTTTTTCGACATATTTCATGGCCGTCGGAATTTTTCGACATTTTGCAGTTAGGCGATTTGCATACCATAATCATCCAAATTCGGTGAAAAGTTCAAAACCAAATTCCAATTGGGTAGCTGGATGCGAACTCTTTGGAATTCTGATTTTCCAAGAAATAAATAATGAAAATTATGGCCCAAAAGATTCCAAAAAGATGATTTTTTAAAATACGTACGGATGTCCTAGCAACTAGAAGTTTGAACCCAACTTTCCAACCCAGTCACCCAGGCCAGCACCCATAATATGATGATTTGTAGGGCGACGCAAACGGCCAGAGGGGCTCAATCCAAAAGAAGAACCCGATTCGAGTACTCGGAGAGGGTTGTGGTACTAGGAGGAGGTCGAACTAGCTGGAGATCCCCTGGGGGTATCCTCTGCTTCTTTTTCTCCTTCCGATGGCCTTCAGATCCACCCCATCCACTATCTTGTCCACTCAAATAAAACCGCATCAACAAGTTCGGTCTATTTACTATGGGTAGATGGGCTTTATTAAACTACAAAGTTTTGAATTCTAATATGTATTTTTAATAGGGTCCAAAATATTATAACATTCAGGACTTTATTTACTATTATTAGCATATGTTTTTTGCGTTTTTATTGAATTCAACTTTATGAAATATACCGTACGCTATAATTTTTTTGCAGATGTTACTACGACTCCTCAGTGCTTTACTCCTTATAACAATATCAGCATGCGAGGTCATGGTAGGTGATTCAAGAGTTTATTTGCATCTAGAATACAAGGCAAAAAAATTAGCCAAATCGGGGCATCGCACGCACTTCGGCCAGGGTTCGGTCGATTTTCTCGAGGAATCTAAAAGCTTTGGTAATCCTACCTTATATAATTTTGGAGTGGATCTTTGTGTGTGTGTGGATGTCAGTTTCTAGGCCCGATTTGAGGGCCTTCCCGTGCATAAAATATCCTAATTCTTCGTCACATGGTGGAATCGACTCTTCTGTTTCCGATGGCGTACTCAGAATTTTGATAAAATACAAGTTTACAAAGTTAAAGCCGGTTTTACTCATTTTTGGGGTTTCTGAGGGCTAATTTGCATCATGTGGACAGGGGCGTAGCCAGAAAAAAATTTCGGGGGGGGGCCCCCAAAAATTTTTTCCAAAAAACTCAAAAGATTAACGAGAAAACAGCGCCGCAGGCAAAATTTTTTGAAAAAAAGGTTACGTAGCTCTACAAATAGCCGTAAAAAAGTGAAAAAATAGCGCCGCAGGCAGCAAAATTTTTAAGAAAATGAAAATCATAAGGGTCCCCCCTTATGAAATTTTCGGGCCCCGGCCGATTTCGGGGGGGGCGGCCCCGGGCCCCCGGGGCCGGTATTACGCTACGTCCCTGCATGTGGAAAAATACAAATTTCCTCATTCTTGCAAGTTGCACGCGCGCGTGTGGCCGGACGGGGGAAGGGGTCCGAAGGACCCGAGCTATCGGGAAGTCAAATTTCGCATGCAAAGGCCACATTCCAGCGCCCAAGGCCCGCGAAGCGGGTTTTGGGCGCTGGTTCATTTTATAACTATATTTTCTTACCGGTCTTTTGGGCGGGTGGTAACTTGAACGAAATTCGAGCCGACAATGCGTGAATCTTGGCTACGGACGTAGGGATGTTCTTGGTAGAGGTAGGGGGAAAGCGGTGCGCTAAACAAAGGTTGTTAAGATAAAGGCATAAATAGCAATTGATATACAGGGTGTCCCAATAAAAAAGGTCACGCTGGCATTTTGCTATTTCAAATCCGATTGAGTTGAAATTTTGAACAGAGGTGTGCAGGGGAATTTAAAATGTTCACGGAAACTTTCAGCCCGATCGGTACAGTAGTTTTCGAGTTATTGCGAAAATACTGTTTTTCTGACACTTTCGCTCCATTTTTTCGGCTATCTTTTTGGACCTTGCATAAATTAACATAAATTTCCGTCGCTAAATCCCGCATTCTTCTAAACATTGGGTTGCAAAACCTTGTTAAAGTGACTTAAATAGCCTATTTCCAAGCCGAATTTTACGAAATAAAAAATTTCCTAGCATAAAAAGGGTCGGGGTTTCATTTTCACCATACATTCCAAGTCTCAATTCCGGCGAAATCCAGGTTAAAAACGTTAAAAAAGTTTGTTTTTACCATAACTCCAAAACTATTGTACCGATCGGGCTGAAAGTCTCTGTGAACATTTTAAATTCCCTTCCGCAGCTCTGTTCCAAATTTCAAGTCGATCGGATTTGAAATGACAAAATGCCAGCCTGACCTTTTTTATTGGGACACCCTGTACATCAACCCCTTAGCGTCGAAAACTCCACTAACCTGTTAAAATCCTTATAATCAATCAACGTCTGCTTATTATTCTTCTTCCATGCCTCATCATCCGTTTCGCGGGTCTGCGCGTAGTGACGAATATTGGCAGGCATCTTAAATTTTTTTGCAAAAGTTATTCCCACACGCAACGACAACCTCTGGGTTCCGGAGTCCTAGATCGATGTACATCCTCTCAAGTGGTGTTTTAAGGGCGAGATCATCGTCTTCTAAAGTTGCAATAAAATCTAGAGGTTCAAATGAACGAACCGCAGCTCTCTAGTGAGTGGGGTCCAAAGGCCCTTTCCATTCTCATCATGGAAGCTGCGGTGCAGCCGTGGTCTCGTTTTCTTTGTTCTTCATCCTTAAAAGGCAGAAATAAAGGATTTAATAGGTATATGAAGCGAAACTGATTTCATTCGATAACTGATTACCTTAATCCGACCAGGGGTAAAACACCCTTTCACATAGTCTTCAAATGAACGTGTGGCCGCTCCTCCCGGGAGAGCAGTGTGGTCAAACTAAAAATCGAGAACATTTTTATGTTAATTGCACAAAAAATTCTATACCTTATCATGAAATCCAGGGGGTTTGCGCTCGGTCCATCCCAGGTAATTCGAGGTGCTAAATTGTAATAAATACTATTAAAAGCGAGCGTAGTTACGTTTTGTGGCGTACTACCTCCCCATCACTGCCCAGACTTCTTGAGTAGGACATTCTAAAAAGACAGCTTGAAACTTAAGATTCTGATGGCTAAAAATCACAATAATGGGAAGAAGGCGTACTGTAGTGAGTACGGTAGTGCAAGAGACCAGAGAAACTTGCAGATAATTTAACTCGTCCTTGTAGTTTACCCAAAACCCAAAAACTGACTGGATGCCAAGAAAACATAGGATCGATTGCATGAGATCAGTGGTGGGGACAGACCGAAAAGCTCGACCCGACGGGTGCTAGCTGGGCACGTTACACCGTTCTTTCTAAAAGCCCTCTTTCTCAGCCACCGCCCCAAAAAATGGCTTCCATGGGGCGGGTATGGCCCCTAAGAAAGGGCCAACGGAAAGGAAGTATGGGCCCTGAAATGGCTAGAAAAAACCACTACGACGTGAAAAGTTACACCCAAATTTTCAGCTGGAAAGTCCGGATTGGGAGTTGATCGGGTCGAAGACATATCAATGGACGGGGGACGAGTTGTTGCGGTGTCGACATTGGGATAAAGTGGCGATCAGGTTTGGCATTAACTATTTAGAAAAATTATGCTACCTATTTAATTACGAATTACAATAATTACATTTCGAAGCGTTATCTTTTAATCGCGGTAAAAAAAATCCGAAACGCAATGGCATTTTTTTTGTTTAAAGGAAGAGTGACATTCGTGACTCGTGTGCTCCGGCGAAAATGCCAAATTTTTATTTCCAATTTATTTATTTATTTATTCCAGATGGCATTTCTGTGGAAAAGGCAAACGCTCTCGTGACTGTGAAGCAGGTATCGACTGGGCTGGCCCAATCGAAGACCCATCCAGACTACCTGCATGGCATAGCGCATTCACATATGTTAACTTGCCAAATAAGGTAGCTTTCCATAGATTGAATCTTAATATACCTTTAGACTGACACACAATTCTTAAGCCTCAGCGTACCGGGTATGGAGAGCAAACCCGTAACCGTACCGGCTATAACTCCACTTCGAATTGATATCGATTGGCGCTGGACGTCCGATGAGAAAGGATGCAATCGGTTCACAGTCAGGTTTGCGGTTTTCGTTTTTGGATGCTAGTTTTTATTTAGAATGTCGGCGATGAGCACCATCGAGAAAGGACGGCTTGGGGAGCTGGAGAAGTTCTGCCGAATTTTCGATACTGATCACTTTGTTGATTGCCATAATCTCTAAAAATCAGGAAAATGTTTTTCATGGAATCCTCAAAGCAGCTCTTGAAATAGTTTTTACGTTGAAACTTTTGCGTGGCACTTGTATCTACAGTTCGACATTCCTGAATATTATTTTGGTAATATAATTTTTTTTTCCTATTTGCACCTCTTGACTTCTCCCCCTCATTTTGCCCCTTTCCCACCGGTTTCCCCTTTTCCCTTCTCACATGACAATACTCCCTTCAGGTTCTCCCATCCGGCCCCCCCTTCTCAATGCAGCTATTTCTCAAAAATTATCGCAGCAAATAACATGTTTTGACGATCGTTTATATCATGCGACAGTTTATTTATAACTTGGATATAGCCGTGTATTTTACATGCCGTTGTCAACCCCTTCTAATTCATCCATGTCATAATTCGATGTGAAGCCCCCGAGCTGGGCTTGCTCTCGACACAAAATGGGTATTTCTTGCATTGTTGCCTTATTATCTTTTTTTATTCGTCGTCAATTAAGAACTATTTTTTGAATTATGCAAATAAAAATATGGAAATAAATGTGTAAATAAATCAGTTTTTATCAGCATATCATTTTTACACGTTGTAAAAAATGATTTAGATTATAGCAATAATAAAAGAAAAACAAATGGAATATTTCGCAACGATATATATTTTTATTAATGTGTAATTTTACCAGAACGCGTCTAACATTTCCTGAATTACTACCCCCCTTTCCTTCAATTTGAAGGCAGTGATCCCCACTTGACAAATCCCCAATGACAATCTACAATTACAATCTCTTGTTCACCAATACTTCCTCCCCTTTTCCATCCCCCACGTGTATGCTATTTGGTTCGAACAGAAGTTTTCGAACAACGAGAAAAGGACCGGCCAATCGTCAAAAGGGGAAGAGAAGGAACGGTTTCCTATTGTTTGTCCGCCATCCCGACCGCCCTCAAAATCCGTCAAGGTCGTCGAGTGCTTGTTCGCCCTCCGTTTATTCCCGTCGATTAAGGCTGGCTTCTAGTTTTCGAATTTATTAATTTGAATGGATGGTTGGCTACCGACTTGTCAATAGAGAGCGTAGCTACTTGCTTTGCCTATCTTTTAATTCGCGTCTCCTTTCTGGTCATTTAACTGTCCTGAAGCAGCTCCTCTAGTTGGTTTTTTTGTACTATCGGCATGGAAGAAAGCCATTTTCTTGTGATTGAGAAAAATGCGTTATTTCGGTTTCTATCATCTCCACAATTTTAAGACTCGGGACATCGTTCTCTCGTGTTTAAAATCTATATAAATACAGCAACAGGAACACCTTTCTTTTTCATATTATTTTTGAGATGTGCTAACAAAACATTAGGCAACAAGCTACTTAAAAACTCGAATTTTACCCTGAGTTTTTACTACATAAATTATTGGGGGGAAGCTGTTCCCTTTTTCGGGCTTGTGGGGTGTCGCTCTTGCCTGTCGCAACGCCAACGCCCCCAGGCCCTAATTTTTATAAATGATTTCTTAAAATATTATTCCAAAATTTTATTGGAAGAAAATTAATTCCCATTAGAATGATCCGAGTTTGATTTATATGGCATCTTCAAATTTTTTCCAAAATTTTATGAAGAGAATGCAATTTGTTGAGTTTTTCGGGTGCTATGGAGCAATGAGGTCCGGATGCCATCACCCTACCCCATTCATCCAACAATCCAGGACCCAATTTCCCATGGTTGTTGAGGTGATGGTATGGGGGCCCGGGTGTGTGGGATTCGACTGTAATGGGCGGTTGGCATGTCATCGGATCTGGGTGGGGGGCAAACTGTTTGTTAGTGGATGGGGGTTGGCATAGAGGTGGATGGATGGCTGGGTAAACAGTTACTACAAGGGGTTCAGGGGGCAGGACGACGGTTCGGAGGATCATAGCCAAAGTCATACAAACAGACTGACTGACTCTCTGTCTGTCCGTCCCTTGGTGCCCGGGCGTTTTTTGAGCCAATTTGACAGTCCTCGAAGACGGTCTGTGGGAGGAGGGATGGTTGGTAGATTGGAAAAGGAGGGGCAGGGTTACGACCTCGAGAGTCCTCCTCGCCGCCCCGCTTATCCCAATCGGATCTGCCATTGTCTTGCTTGTCGGCTCGATTTTCACTTTTCATGAGGCCTCAGCTGCTGGGTCACCGTTGCCACAAGTGATATAATTAATATGTTTATAGTATGATTTTTTATTCAGTTTCTGAATTTTGAGTTTATTCTGGGTTTAATCAAACTTCGCCGTGTTGAGGTTTTCAAGGTTTGCTCAAAACCTTTCTTTATAATCAGTCCAATTTTTCAGACACGATTTTTTCATTTTTCATAAATCCTATTCAACATTCTAAATTTTTAAAAATGGAAAATTTTGTTTTATATTGAACCTTGCCTATTTTGATGCTTTTCTAACGAACTAGGTGTGGCCAAAACCATGTGCTCAACTTTTGATCTCCAAAGGACAAAGTCCTGTTATTCTGACCCGCACTAGGAGCATGACCCGTTTCAAGCCAATTTTATTTTTGGCAACGGAACACACGCCTTTCAGACCTTGAATGGAGAACCCTAATAAAAATGTGGTGTATATAAACTCCAGTCACCACAAAATTTGTCTGTTGATGCCAAGTGATGCTAAAAAGCTTTTCTACCAACCAAATTCTAAAAGCCAGTTTTGCGGCAGATCGCGACATTAATTTGCATGCCGTGATGTCTAGCCTAAGCAACTTTTCAAAGCTCCGGAGGGCTTCATAGTTAGTTAGAGAACTATATACTTTAAAGCCACCACCACCGCCCCCCACCTGGTCGTCATTTCTTTCGCCGCATTGCTATGCATTGCCATTTTTTGCGTCGATTCCCCCGGGGGACCACCCCTTCACACCCGATAGCTATGCCTCGCATTCCTACTGCCGGGTTTCAACTAGAAAATTTGAATTTTATATTTTCTTATTGTACATAAACATAACTTGTAATATCTCTTAAAATAGCACTGAAAGCTGATAAGATCTCGAAATTTTTGCATAAAATAGGCCCTGTTCATACACGTGATTTGCATGCAAAAATTTGGGGGTTTGAATAGAACCGCAAGCGTAGCCAAATTCGCAAGTCCAAGCGTGGATTTGATTTGAATGAAATTACCTCCAATCTAAATGTAAATTCTTGGAAGATTCTGTGCCCTGGTTTTCAGGTAAAAATCAACTTTTCGTCATACCCAAAATAACTCAACCACCCGCCGTTATCACCCCACGGACCCCGGGCCAACACATAAAAATGGCAGCTGAATGGCTTGACCCAAAAGTTGAATGGCAATGGATAGAAAAGAGGGGGGGTAAAGGTGTTTGCGATCGGGTTCGAGATCGAGACGGATGATATGAGGGGCGGAAGGTAAGAAGGGAGTAAAACGGAGTGGTAGAAGGGATAGATAGAAGAGGAAGAAGAGGGGAGGGGGCACTGTGTAGCCACCCGGTGTGTCTGTTGACAGTCCCTTCGACTCCTATTTACACCCTTACTCTCCTCGCATTCGCCACCCCGGGTATTGGCCGGTCCCTTACACGGTCTGATAGCAGCAACTGTTGGCTTAGAAATGGCGTAGGGTCGGAATTCTGGAAAGATTCAGGGTAAAATATACATTATTAACCGTATCAAACCTTATATTTTTAATGCGAAATTTGAAAATATGTTTTGACAATATTCCGGGTTTTAATATTATAATTTCTATGAAAATTATGATATGATTATTAAATATAATTCTCAGTTTTTAGAGTTTAATATTCAAAAGGCTGCTTGACACATGATATATTCTGCTTAAATGGGCCTTATTTTTATTCTACGTTGGTCTATGCTTTTATTTCATGGTTTCTAACAGAGCTACGTTATTAAAAATACAAAAACTCCATATTTTAAAAACGAAAAACAAAACTAGTTATTTTTGCCGTTCTTGCATCATATTTTGGCAAGTTTTTCGCCCCTTTTTATCCGCGGCTTTCCATCTACATAACTATTTCCCGTGTAACCAACCCAAAATTATGCAACGAGAAGAAAAACCCAAAGTTTAGTTTTTTGAGTAGTATGTCTACCCCTTCTTTCTGTTTCTTTCCCCACTTTCTATGAGCATGGGAAACAGATGTGCCTCTCCTCTTCCCCTGTTGTTTTCTCGCCTCGCCCTTCCATTCGAGGCCGCATGTTTATCCGGGAGTCCGAGGGGTGGCATTCAGCCAATCTCGGACCCAGACAACCACCAAAAACGGCCACCAGTCCCCCTCATGGCTGCCCTTCCGTTTTTTCCGCTCGAAATGTTGATATCGATGGGGGCATGGGCCGGTATTTTTGGGATTTGGCAACGGGTACATGAGTGTTTCTATTTTTGTTTGATTTTAGAAATTCTATATCCACAATTTTCTTGATAGTTGGAATATTATGACGTTTCCTTAGTATCAGATGAATTGATAGTTTTACGATGTAAATTTACAGGATTTATGTACTTAATTTTATGATGAAGGTACATTGGTAAATTTTAACAAGAACTTTTCTCCCTTTAATATGTGAACAACTAAAAAAATAAGATTAGCAGGTTGAATTTTTGGTAAATAGAAGACAAATTTTATCATTTTAGTCGCATACCATTTTTCACGTCCTCCAAATTTCACGCTTCTAATCCTCAGAAATTTTCAACCTATTCCTTCCCCTCGCTTCAAACCACCGGAAACCCAACCCCCCATCCTTTCCCACACTCCGGATGTAATGCACAGCGGTGGGTGGGCTTCTCCGCACAAATCGTTTTTTATGAGATTAACGTAGGTGGGGGGGGTCTGGGCCAGATGTGTGTCTCTCCTTTTCTACTACTATCGCTTTTGAGCTTTTGAGAATCGGTGAATTCAGATGGCCCCTTCAGGTGCGCGGGAGTGCCGTTCTATTTGCAATTGGCTTCTCACGGAAAAATTGGAGCCCCAAGATCTCCCCGACGTCCCCCATACTCACGCAACAAATGACGGCTGGTATTTTTTGGTCTTAGAGCCCGAGGTATAGGGACTTTTGGAGGAGTCTTCTTTCTTGTCCCTAGAGACCCATGTCTGAATATGCGGTTCCGCTTTTCCCCCCCCCCCCCGGCCTCGGCTTTTCATCTAACATTCACCCTTCCTCCCCGGTTTTTTTAATTTCCTTTGGGCTGAATGCTATTTTGGGGACGGCTGGTTTCGATTTTTGCTATTTAACCCCAAGGCTAGACGCTTTACTTCATTGGTTCAATTCCTATATTTTCCTTTTTAACGCGGCCCCCTTTCCACAGCCCCCTTTCTCCTTATCTCCATTTCCATTTTGCTTCTATTTTCGCCTTCGCGGGCTGCCAGAAAAACAACCTCTTGCAGATGCACTAAAAAATGGAAGCCGAAACCTCATCCTCACTACTTGATAATCTCCCCAATGAGCTGGTCATTGCGGTAGTTTAATCTAATTTTAAAAATGGATTGTTTTAGATCCTCTCCAAACTACCAGCCGGGGATGTGGCACGAAACTTATACCAAACCGGGCGTCGCCTCCGCCATTTTGTAACGGCGAATCAGAAGAAAATGGCTTTGTAAGTTATTTTAGATAGGAAAACGATAAATTTGCTAGATTGCCGACCCATTGCCATGCGGCTGTTATGGATGCCGAAGAACGACCGGGTTTTCAGCCATATATTACTTATACCTTTACCGCATTTGATGAAACTGCGCCAGGTATTTGCGTCAAGCTACATTTGAACATTTTTAATATGGCCTAAAAATTTATTTAATAATTTTTCAAACTATAAAAACGCTCAATTGAGATCTGGCAGTTAGCATATAAAAATTTGTAAGATCAACTTCCATTCCAGGATACGCAAAAAGTCTACGATATTGCTCCAATGGAAACGATCTCAGATTTAAGGCCCTGCTTGTGCAAATCTCAAGGTATCGGCACTTCTCATCTCAACTAACAACTGTTTTCAAGATTTGGCGGCCTATCCTTTACACTGGCTCGCCAGAATAGTGCTCGAGAGCTCGAAATAGCCGGGCAAGAGCGGCTGGACGAGTTTACCGGAAAAACGGTTCGTTTCATTTCAAGAGCGTTACATGTTAATTTATCTCTAGTTGCTTTCACGGATGTGTATTGTAGCTGCAAGGTATGATGTGCAGAAGTGCGGGAAGAAAAGTTCATTCAGGCTGTATGACGATACGTGAGTTATATTTTTTAACTTGATAATATCTATTACTTTCCAAAAAGTATTTTTAATTTTAGATTGTGCCATGTCCTGGATTTTTGCCAGCAACTCTGTGGTGACGTCAAGATTAAAAGCCTCTACTTAGCATCTGCCAATCCGCGATTTACCTGGGATTGGTCGCCGAGAAGCAAAGAAAAGTGAGATTTGACGTTTAAAACCATTAGTTTAAAATCAGATTTCAAACGCTTACTTCGCTTGAATCATTGACCACGGAAGGGTTGCCGGCTTTTGATGTTATCACCCAACAATCAATGGTAATGCCGATTGATACCTTATACATTTACGTATTTTTAGTATGGTATGTCGAAACTGTCCTACTTACAACTCCGGCTTAACCATGGACATCGAGAGGAATTTGCAAATAGAATGATATGGCTGCCAGATAGTAAGTTTCCCCAATAATCTATATGAATATCCATCTTCACTCGGCAATTCTTGATTTTAGACAACTTCTTGTCGTATTTTTCCGACCTTGCACTTCACAAACTCGACGTTGATCTGTACAGTCTTGGAGATGTCGTCATCACCTCAATTGGCGCCAAAGAAATGTGTTATTTCATTAAGGTATTATAATTCCTAGTTGTTGCAAAACTTATTCAGGCTTGGCGCAAAATGGTGCAACCCTGGAAGATTAAGAAAATTATTTTTAATACAAGCACAGCCATCAGGTTGGTTTTTTTGGTGATCAGATAGCATATTGTGCACGCCGATTTTATTACCAATCACTTATGCAAATTTAGCGAATTCCGGACGACAGCAACCCAAATGGGTCTGCATCGGACCGATGCGCTACAGGATATACCCTACTGCCGTTTTAGGTATGCTAATTGTAAGAAACATTTAATTAGGTTTCCTAATTTAGAACCCACCATCCTAGCGACCCAAATATGGCCTTGGAATTGATTTGTTATGGAGGAGTTGTAGGTTAATTCCATCAAACCGAAAATTTGCATATTTAGAGCTCCACGAAGTGGAAGATGATCAGCGGCTACTTGGAATCTCCTATTCGCCGTAGGAATTAGTAATGACTAGAAAGTTTTGCTGTAAAAATGCTTCTGATTGCTCTCATTGTTTTCTTAGGTTTAGCATACCTCCCGGTGCAAATTGCCTTTAATTTTGCTGCCCTTTTCGCTGTTCAATCCGGTGTCTCATCCTTCCAAAGTTTTATCTTTAAGCTTCATTTCCTTGCTTTAAAACCCCTATTAAAAGTCTCAACCATATTTGCTAATTTGGTCAACACCTCTGTGTCCCTCTGCATTTCCAGCCATTAGAATGCACATTATTCAATCTTGTCATCCCAGGTATCTACAGGTAAATAAAAACCATTTATCGCTCGAGATTAACAAATAAAAGGTTTGCCGATTGTGAGCATACAGGGGGAACTGTCAAATTGAAAGAAGCATCATGGAGGAAATAAAGCTAATAGGGAACCCGTTTAGGAGAGAAGATATTAGCAACAAGGATTTTTGGGTCCTTTTTGTTAAAAAGCTGTAATTTCATCATAAAATGAAAACTTATATGCCTAAAAGCACAGTCACAAGTTTCAAAAATTATTGTTTTGTAAGTAATTTTTAAACGATAAACATAACGTTACATCTTGGAATGACTGAATTTAAAATGTCATGTTTAAGCTATATTTAAATCGTTAACTAAAAAAGTAGGAATTGCTGAATTAGGCCTTTCGCCGAAGACAAGCTGTCAGCAGGGTAAAAGCCTTATTGGTAGGGCGGCAGCAAACAGCGGCGCATTCACGAGCTTTCGTCGTGCAGCTAAATATTAGATATTAAACCTTTAGATAAGTTATAAAATTGGAAATAATATATTATATAAATAATAAAATACCTTCTCTCGCTGGCAAGTGACTCCGGTGGCTTTGGAGAAGTTGGTAACGGCTCGCCGCCCTTTACATCAAAGGTCAAAAATTCGCCCTGAGCTGTTGGCTGGGAGACCACCACTTTTGGTTGAACTAAAATGAAAGTTTTCTTAAGGCGATAAATCGATTTAGTTTTACTTTTATGTTTATCCTTGAAATTCTTGCAGCTATCACAATCGAGATCTTTATTCACGTCCCAGTCATCGTTCTCGGTTTTGGCGAATTTATGAAGGGTTGAATAGCGATTTAGCAACAGCCATTCGGTCACCTGAATTTATGTATACGATGTTGAATTCCACCAAAAATTTTTTTTAGATATGCTAATTTGCGTATGGATCAGCCAGGGCGTTAAAAGCAAATTCCAAGCCTTAAAGGGATGCCCAACCTTTTCAGGGCTCAAAAAGCAAAAACCATGCCGCGGGCGGGGTTCGAACCCGGGACCCCCGTCTTGTAGACCTAGATGCTATCCATTAGGCCATAGTGGCAAGCCATGGGATGGGATGGGAACGCCACAAGAGGGAAAGGGGTCCGAATTCTGTGCGGCTTTGGGGCCCATTGCCGCACAAAATTCGCGCGTCATTTGTACTGCCCGGAATACATAACTATATATTTGCCGGCGAAACATTGGGTATCCCTTTAAGGATTTTATTTTGGGATATTCAAAGCTCAAAGCAAATTCAGAAAAAGTTTTGATTTTTGGACGCGATCGGCATTAAATTAACATCAAACAACAGAGTATGCTAAGTAAATGCAATAAAAGTTAACGCGTCGGTCTAGAATTGAACATGAGACCGACCTTTGATTGCAATGAAGCCGCATCCTTGGGGTCAATATCCGCCGATGCTTCGGGTCGGATTTTCTTGACGAGGGCATATAAGTCGTCGGCTGACAGCTCGAATAGCGTCGCCATGTCGGGGTCAGACCATTGGATTCCTAAAAATGGGAGAGATGGCCATCAATCATTGAATTTATTAAGAAAATATGTCAGAACGCGAGCTGTAATTTAATACTTAAAAAATGTGCAAAATTCTTCATGTCGGGATTAAAAGGAATTTGCATGAGCAGTTTCATAATTGGAATTCAGAAAATCGATGGTTAATGGTTTAATATATTTAATAGTTGTTATGAAATAAACCACAAACGGAAAACCGTAGGATAAAATAACCTAGCAAGCTTTCTCTACCTGCTGCAACCCAAGGGCAAAAGCGGCAAATAGTAAATAGCTGTTTTCATGCGGGTCCTCCGGGCCCCCATGGAAAAAGTGTTGTCGAGAGTTTTGGGAGAGACTGAAAGGGGTCTCTTCCGGCATCGGCTGTGAATGGGGGGGTCCCTCTAGAAAGATGAGGTGGCAGTGGTAGTGGTAGTGGTTCCTTGGTGGCCAGTAAGAGGGCCTTTTGATGAGTGAAATCGAAAACCTAGAGCATCGATGACCACGTCTTGCATTATCGTTGTTTGCCGAGGATGAGCGATAAAAAGTGCGGCTTTTTCTATTCAATGGGGGGACCTTAAGGGGTTAGCAGTGTTTGCGAAGTATTTTTTGGGACGGGAAAACGTCGGAGGTTTTTGGGATTGGCCAAATCATAAAAAGAAATATCGCGTTAAGGGCGCTAATTTTGAGGTCTACTGTGATGAAGGAATTGAGACAAACAGAACGCTCAGGGCCGTATTAGGATAGGCCAAGTTAGCCGCTTGACGAAAAATCGAAAATGGATAGGCAGATAAGGACAGAAAACGGGCACTTAAAAAGCTTTTAGAATGTAAATTAAGCTCCTTCTAATTTGGTACTAACCTAAAATCCACGCGCAAAAATACTAAAAGGATTTGGCAGACGGCCGCAAATTTCACAGGTCCTGTTTGCATTGGCAACATGCCAAATCGCTGAACATCCAAACAACTAGCACAAGCCGCATTATTTCCATAAAAACGTGGAAAACAAGCTCTGTATGCGGGATTTTTTCAATGCAGCTACCCTGATCCAAAATCGATTTATGGCGAAAGCCGCGCGGATCTGAATGTCGAAATGCAGGGCGGGAAAGCCGAACAAATAGGTGGCCACGGCCAAATCGGCTCTTGGGGCACACAGCGTTCGTTCCCTTTCCCCCTCAATTCCGAACAGAACGAACAGCCAAACACAAACATTCTCTCCACTTCGGCGTCGTCGTCGTCGGCGCACAACATCAACTCATCTCTCTATCTCTCTCTCTTCGCTCTCTCTCTCTCTCTCTCTCTCTCTCTCTCTCCTCGCTTTTCATCCCGCTCCTCCGCTAATCCCGATTATGAGCACAGGTGGCAGCAATTTTCCGCCTAGCTACACAAAGCCGGAGACAATGAGGGGAGGTGAATGATTATTTGCAATTACGGTAATTGCTTCAAATGATGATGTGTAGCAACAAATGTAAAAATGATAGTTTTGATTGTCGCCAAAAGTATAAATATCCTAGCCTCGTGAAATTATAGCAAACCTTAAAGAATATATGTAGAGTAGTTCTGGTCAGTAGTAGCAAAAATGAATAAAATCCCAAAAACAATCTACATGAATAAAGCCGAAATTTACAAAAATTAAAATCAATATAACATAGCTCCGCCCACAGGATCCCATCAATATCCCTTCTAATGAAGTACTCCCTCGGACCGCCAGCAAATAAATGCGAGAAGCGTCGGTTGACCGGCCGTCGGGGGGACTTGAGCATGATAAATTTTTGAGTCGCCCACCCCCAACGGGGCAATTTATAAGGGGCACAGAGGGACCCTCGACAAGAAAGGAGCACGACTAATAGAGAATGTATTCTGCGTCATATTCAGCAAATTTGATGCCCAACTTTTCTTATATAGTTGCAAGGAAAAAATGCTGAGCGTTGATATCACCTTTTCAAAGGATTTCGGAAATTTTAAAAAGTATCTTTAATTTCTTTTAAGAAGCTGAAGGGCGCACTTTAATATCTAGAGCGGATACGGTATAGTAAGTAAGTAGTGAAAAATTAAAATGAGCTCCCTTTCCGAATTCCCCCTAAAGTGCATACCCCCATAAGCGAAAGACGACCCCCGAGCTCAATTTCCATAGTAATAACCCAGCCGCTAGTAGACAGACATCGACTGAACAACATGGCGTCCAATTTTTTTGGAAATCACTAATCCCCGGGCGACGGAATGCGCATTTGGCATACTCAGCTCCCCGGCGCGGTGGGGTGGCAGCGACAAAAAGCTTGATTTACCCGGGCAACCGGAGCAGGAAATGGGCATTGGAGAAGTGGTTGAGACGGAAAGAGGTGAGGTCGAAGGCGAAGAAGAGGTGAGAAAGGGAGTTAGGAATGGGGTGGGGGGGTAAGGTGAGGGGGAGAAGCCCCTCATTTATGGATGGGATTGGAACAACCCCCTCATGCCGAATACCTGAGGGAGGGGAAGGATGTCTACCTAACCTACGAGATGAGGGGCTTCGAGGTCGACCACCTGCCATAGCGAGGGGAAACGTGGAACGAGCAATGAAGCATGAAAAATTTTCTTTAAAGTAGAGATGTAGGCAGATAGACGCGAATTATAAATAGCGAATTATAATTTTGTCTTTGTACGTTGTTTTTAATCCAAATAATTATTATATTTGATGACCAAGGAAAGAATTTAGACGTAGGGATTGTAAAAGCGCAAAACATGGCTCTGGTCTAAGGTCGCAAAAACGGCTCCGGCTGTAGCCAATCCAAAAAAGGGCACGTTGAATCCACCCGTCGGCGCCCATGAATTTACAATTTGCAGGGCGTTTGTCTGAATTTTTGGCCTCGGGGTTAGACTCAAAAGCCAAAGGTTTCTCGCTGTCACAATATCCAGTTAGGTTAAGTTAGTAGGTTTGAGGGTTTTATGCAAATATATACATTACAGGTTTAGCTTTTTGTGAGGGCACGGGCCTGAGCTGTCACACAGGTTTGGTCGTTTGACGCGGTGTCGTGGAGGATCATCTCCATTTGGTAGGGTGCATCGTTCTTCAGCAGCTTGATGATGTTCTGAAAAAACATTATTGATGAATTGTTGATTTAAATTTAGGAAGTAAATCAAAGGCTAAGCTGAAAATGCTTACATCGAACTTGGAGAAGTCGAGGGTAATCGGGATGGTCTTGCGGCCCTTCTCGACGGGGCAAGGAACTCCATTTGTGCAGGCGTCAAGGTTCTGGAATAAGAATTTATTAGTTTACAAACAATATAAGGTTATATTTGGCTACAGTGTAATGATATTGCTTTTACTTGCCTTCAACAAATCAAAAGTCGGCACCACCGACCATTGGCAAGCGAATGCGGATCCCCAAGACCACAAGTTGACGGTGCTCTGAAGAAAATATTTTTATCAGCCCTAGACACCTTTAAAAATATCTAGCTACATTCCGCCTCTGTCCAGAGTACGCCCCGAACTCGCCGCACATGACAGCCACTACCCCCTTATCAAAAATTAATCATTTTCGGACTTTCCCTCCCGGCTTATCTCATCAAAGTCCGAGATGCCAATTTACGAGCTCCCACTGGATTGCAGTAAACTACCTTCAAGTTCGGCGATTTGTAGACATTGTTCGGGTTGTTCATGTCGGCCTGGATGACGAGGGGTTCCGTCAATTTAATTGGGTACTCTGCATTGCCTGGAAATGATTGTTACAACCCTTTCGGTGCTAATCAAGTACCTTTAGCATCCTGGGCCTGGAGGCCATAGAAAGTGACTGGGGATGAGCAGGAGGGGAACCAGTTCAATTTCGTGTCGGTGTTGTTGGGCCACTATATTCAAAATATCGCTTTAAGGAAAACTATACCGCAACATCACAGGCGGAGGCAAAGGCGATCAAGCAGGCAAGGGCAGCCAATCGGTACATGGTTAATTATCTAAAACGGCATGGTACATTTAAAGAGCGGATGAGAGAAACTAATTGAAAACATTTGAATATTATACCGTACCCCAGCCCTCCCAAAAATTCCGGGGTACCAAAGTATTCAGGGTCCGGGAATTTGCTACAGTCGTAGCCACTCCCCCCACCCTGCGTGCCAATTTATGCCAATCCTTATCGCTCCGGAAAATCCGGGGCCAGGTTGTCCTGTACTGGAAATGAGAGCGAGAGAGAGAGAGAGAGAGAGAGAGAGAGAGAGGCTTCTCTATCAGTGACGGTCTCTACAAGATCCGTTATTGCCACGCGGTAGCCACACTACATCGCTGTTGCTGCTGTTGCAAACACCCGGCTACAATATCTGAGCAAAGATTGCAGGCATGGGTCTTTTAACGTTATATCGAAATTTTAATATAGTTTAACAACGATAAGACTTTACAAGAAAACTACATTACCATTATATACAATCTGTCAACTAACTTAGCTTCATTTCTTTGTATCCCTGCACTTTCACTGAATATGGTTTTTAAGGGTTTATGTATTGCTTTATACATCACACAAAAAATGCAGTTTTGAATGAATAACTGAAGTGTCGAAAACGACCAGACCATAACAACGTAACATCAAGGCACCATAAAATCACATAATGCTGATATGTTTGAAAGTGAAAAGACCATGTCTAAGCACAACACCGAAGAGTACCCGTAGTTATATGATACATAGTTGACAAATTCCCAAGCTATTTACAAAGCAATTTGGCGAGGAGTCGCATGTTTATGTCGATTCCGATCTAGCACCGACTTCACGTGGGTAAACTTTATGAAGTCGATTTCGCACAGCAAATGTGCTATGATTCTCAAATCATCGTTGGAAAGAAAGTTCTGAAAACAAAAATTAATGATATTTTTTCCTCAAACAAACCATTTTTCCCATTTGGTTCACAGATACAAAACGACCCATGTAGACGTATAGGCAAATCCAGGTTACATGGGCGGTAATGAATGATAGGAGAGCTTTATCCGTAGCGAATCTAAAGTTTTAGGATACTGTTGAACTATGAAGTCTCACTTTCGTTTCATACGAAAACTTGTTAGCAGCCGGCCGCAGTATGGAGAATTTCTCAGGACATTAAGATTTAGGTCAAATACAGCACGACCTTTGTGGTCGATTACAGTACCACGAGGGACCAATTGACCGTAGACACCTTCCATTTCTCTAGAAAACCCGTTAAATTCCCATATAAACGCGATAAGCATACTTCTTATCATCTTGATTCCAAAGGACGACATCACGGGGATGGGGTCGAGCTATTATAGCATTCAGTTTATGCACAAGCTCCATCACCACAGATCGGCGTTGCTCACTACCACATACCATCAAATGGTCACCGGAAAGAACTGGACTCAAAACCTAAAACCAGACATTAATATGACATTGTCGTCTACCTGATCAAGTGACCCAGTAATTGTTCGGAGCGTTTCTTCTTCATTTACTACCTTCCGTAGCGACGTCTCCACAGTCCGTTCTCTTATTGGGGTTTCATAACAGGGAAATTGCAACACCGGGATGCCAGAGCTAAAATATGGTTTTCATTAGCATTATTTTATCTAGACCTCACCTGTAAAGTACTCCATTGTCGGGTTTCCTGATATCAAGTTGCACATGAAGCATTTCAAGACTCTCCACCAGCTCATCAAAGGCCTGAATTTTTGTATTGATTGTTCTTCCTGGACTTACACAGGGTGCCAAATCTTTGATCGGCTGTAAGGGAGCGGCTTGGACGAACTGCTCCAAGACCCGCTCCACTTCTCCTTCGCCCTCACCATTCTTTGGAGAATGTCCAGCACATCGACAATCAGCGTTGAGGCGGGTGGCCAATGCTGCGTACATACTTTGCATCTTTGGGCGAAGACGACGCGCCTGAAGCGCATGATATGGATTTTGTGACATTTTTCATTAGGTAGCAGACTGTCGGAAATTAGGATACCGAAATTCGAGCTCGGTTTCAAATCAAATTTTTACGATAGCGAAGAAAGACATCAACCAGTCTGTTCAGTGTCGGAAAAATAGTGTCGTCGTTTTGTAGTTAGCCAAATTTCAATTTCGATAAAGTAGAATAGCGGCAAAATGATATTTCGAAGAAGTTAAATTACGACAAGCTGAATCTTGACAAAATAAAATAAACGCATTTGTCAAATTCTCACCTGCTCCGCAACATTCATAATCTTCTGCCAAACGGATTCAGCAACGGCAATCTTCTCGTCAATTTGGAATGAGTAGTAATTCTTAATTTTCATTAATCAGAGATCGATGTACAAAATTCAAACCTGGACAGTATTATAATCAATTGCACTGGCTAATTGGATCATTGTCGAGAGTTGATGGAGGAATAGGCGGCGATTACAGAGGATTAGTGGGGTCAAAAATGTGCGGGCTTTCTTGATAAACACCGACAACAATTCGCCGGTTGGCCGTTCAGTCGATAGGTGGGCCAAACAAATTGGACGCTGAAAAATAGGATGGATGAACTCAAATAGAAAATAAAATTGTATTGCGAATTTGACTTCCCACAACTTACTTGAAAAGCGCGAGCTCGCACGTCATAGATAATCGTGTAGTACGACAGGGCATAAATTCCCATCTGTTGGTTGTAGATGCAAAGTACGGTACCGGCTGCTGTTTCGCTGGACATCAACCATAGCTAAAATTCTCTAATAGTCTTAATAGTCAACTTTAGACCCACTGCAATGGCATCCATGTCGAGATGAGCTTCACGGAACTGATCTTGAGGGTATGAGGCAAGAGGACGTGGGCCAATTTTCTGAATTAATGCTATTTGCGCGTAATGAGCCATTCCTTTAAAAACATCAGCCTAGCTAATGCTAAATTATCTTATTATCGTGCTAACAAACCTGACAAAATTCCACAAGCGTAACAATCGAGTCAATCGTACATCCTAGCCGATTAAATGGGTCCGGTACCCTGCAGCCACGTATAGCCAACGATTCAGCGGTCGCTGGCTTCATTTCCTTGAAAAACATCGATTTAATTATGAAGATAAAATGTATATATAAACAACATAGAATAAAGAAAAAACCTTAACTTGTCGTCCAGAAAATAGCAAAAATCCACAAAATGTATTCCTTTTAACAACGGCAAACGCTTCTGACACTATGCAAAAATGAACCTCTTCTTATCAATCCCATTTTTTATCTTGCAAGGGAATTACTTTGCATGCCTGGCGGGCAATTTGCTAAGGTAATAGCTACGGGAGGCACCAATGGTCACAACCATCTGTTGCTCTGCCCTCATAACGCTGCAGATGCTAAAAAACAGGCGTGAGCTCACCCCCCGATCCCCGTTCTGCATACGAACATTATTCTTATGAAGTCAGGAATTTTAAGTTTCTATGATATAATTATCACTTTTATAGTAAATTTTGTACGTGCAAAGGAACCGTAAAGTAAGATAAGGTATATTCCAGGTTATGGAATCTCCCGAGCCAGATGATGATCGTTTTTGTGTGTTGCGTCGGGTTCGCAAGCGTAAACTTGATCTTCAGTCGGAAATCGTTACGCTACGCGGGGAATTGAAGGAGGTATGTGTGAAGTTAACCTTGTGCCAACAGCCTTCAAATTTCAATGTGAATTTTTAATTACCATAAACCATGTTCAATGAATAAGCTTAAAATGCCTTCTAGGTCGAGGCCGAACTCGAAACCCTCAGCTACCAAGACGATGAAGGGCGTGCAAAGGTGAAACTTCTTGCACAAGGCAAAAAGAAGTTTAACGCAGACCCGGAAGAGGTAGGGCTAAATCGACATGCAAATAGCTTTTTTTAGGGCTTAAAGTGGATGTTTGAACGCAACTTAATCAACCCAACAGCTATTGACGTCGCCGAGTGGCTTTTTGAAGCCGCTACTACAAGCAAAGGTTTGTGAAATTAACAGTATATGCTAATACCTTACAAAAATCCTTGAAATATGCTAATTTCTGGATTCCAGGTGTCTCCAAGCGCGCAATTGGTGAATACTTAGGAAAACATGAAGCATTCCAGCTAGAAGTGCTAAATAAGTAAGTATATTTTAATATGAAACTTTATATATCATATTTGTTTAGTTTTTGCCAGCTTCACCACTTTGCCGACACTCATGTTCTGGATGCTCTCCGGCTTTTCCTCTCCTCATTCCTACTACCCGGTGAAAGCCAGAAGATCGAGCGGATTATTCAGACATTTGCAGGTGGCGATTTTACGCAATTTATCACCTAGAATTTTTAGTCCATTACACCGAATCAAACCCAATGACGTTCAAAACAGCCGACTCGTGCAATTCACTCTCCTACAATTGTATTGCCCTCAATACACTACTGCATAATCCAAACGTCAAAGACAAGCCGACATTCGCAGTGTACGTTCACTTATCGAAAACTAGTTATGTTTTTTAGATTCAAATTGATGACAGACGATTTTCTAAAGTCGGGCGAGTTTAATGAATCTCAACTGGCAGCCATCTACGATTCGATAAAGGAGAAGGAGTTTAAGTATGTTTCTAATTATTCTGATTCTTATGGATCATTTGTAGGGTGCCAACCGATTCTGTCGGCTCTCTGGCTGATGGAGCTGATCACACTGGATGGTTGCATAAGCAGAGTAGCAAGTTCCTTTCTGGATCCTTATCTTGGAAACGTCGCTGGTAAGACAAATAATTTTTTAATTCATGGATTTTCTAGGTTTGTACTTGCCGACAATTGCCTCTACTATTTTGAAGCGACCAATCAGAAGAACCCAAAAGGCATTATTCCGTTGCAGAATGTTGGAGTTAGAAGGTACCTAGGAAATGAAAAAGCTAATACAACGTTCTGTAGATCCGAAAATCAATCCCGCCCTCACACCTTTGAGATCCATTCCTTGAACCAAGACGAGCGCGTGAAAGCTTGCAAAGCCGAATCAGATGGTCGATTGGTAAGTTTCAAATCGAAAAAGAAAATTTCTGTAATGTTTAGGTCGAAGGCCGTCACACTGTCTACAAAATCTCGGCTTCTTCTGATGAAGAACTACGGGAGTGGATGGAATACATCTCAAAAGCCATCCAAACATACCCAATCTCCCAGAATGGCCGTTAAATCCCCGTAGTGCAAAGAGCTGTCAGTTGAGTGTTTTCTAACCCGCTTTCCCCTCCCTACGCCAAATACTATTCACTTCCCCTTTCATCGGTTGTGCTAAGCGAACACGGGTAATCTTTTGCATATTTATTCCGCTTTGTTTTCACGCATTTGCTCAATTGACACTTCAATACTTTGCAATCACCTCCGAATCTGATTCCCCCATAACCGCCCCGATATTTGTTAATTTATTTCCCGGCTGTTCAGTTTTTGTGCGTTCTTATTGCTGCGAGGTGTTTAGGTTCAATATTTTTGTCTGTAAGGAAATAATCTATTTATTCACTTTTAAAATGCCCTTATATGTTGTAGAGTGCTTAGTTTGATAAAATAATTCAGGAAAGGGTTTTTCATGGAACCAACAACCGAATCAAACGCCAAAATACCGGTTTTAAAACTCCGAATTCAAAGCACCACATGCAAATTTTATTGCTGAAACGTTTTCATAAATGCTGTGTTCGAATGGTAAGATAATTTGAATCCGGTGTTATGAATTCGGTGCTGCAAATCAGGTTTATTTTGGTACCAAACCGCAAGAAAGGTACCTTAAAATACCTCAATCCACAGTGCCAACAACTTCTCACTATGGCATTACAAGCCAGAACTAGCGACGCGCTGGACAATGGAAAAGACGGACTGACGATGGATTGTGTTTGTGTGTCCGAGTGGACATACCGGCCCCGTCCCCCTGGGTTTTTCCACTGAAAAGAAGAAGCATTTCCCCCCACCACAGCAGCAGCAGTGCCCGGTCAGTGGCTCGTGTTCTCCACCCATCCCAACACGGCCCATCGCCCATACCATCCATTCGGCCTTCTGACAAACAGGACTTTTCCCTCTTTCGCTTCACCATCCTTCCACTACCATCTTGGTTTGATGTTTCCTAGGATGAATCACTAGGCTTCTTGGGGAAGTAGAGAGTATGCGAAGATCTGGAAGGATTTAGTTCTTTTTAAGAATTTTTCGTATTATCCACTTCCTGATTTGATTCCGTTCACCGACGGTTGTTTATGCGCTGGAATTCTATTTTGGTCAACTATGTTTTAACTAAAAAGCCACTTAAACCTAAATGTAAAAGCTACGATTACGTCGTGACAGATGAAAATAACCAACGCCTGCTCTTTTAATTATGTTTTTGCAATTAACATCACAATGAAGTCTGATTAACTGTATGAACAGACACAACAAAATAAAAATCGCCGTGGCAAAAATTGAAATGAACTCGAAATGAACGTCCACTATTTGGACGAAGTGTCACCGCCTGCACGAATCACGGATTAAAAAAACCCTAAAACCATCCCTGAACTGTGCCGTTTACGCTAATTACCATATAGCATACCTTTTCACATCTGAATGCCATACCGGAAAATGCAAATTTCTACTTGCCCCGGCATAATAATGACCACAATTTACCACACAATGGCGAACTTCTATTTTTGTCTAATCCTATTTAGTTTTTCTATTTCTGTTTAAATTAAATTTAATATTATATTTAAATCCGTAAATTTAAATGAAATTGAAATCTTTTTATATCTATAAGCGCTTCTTTCTGTTCTTTGCAAATCCGCAGCTCCAGGTCGACTATCCGAAACACTTTCACCTTAGCGTTCGGGCAATTAACGTGGTGATTGGGTTTTTGCCGCTCAGCCCCTGGAGCAGAAATAGCGTAGACCAACAACTGGTTTTGCGGCGACTAATCGAATTGTGGTGAGAGTGAAATGGGATTTTCTCGATCCCCTCCACCGCACAAAACGCCAGAGGGCAATTACCCCTCTCTCGCTCGGGAGTCTTCACCGCCAATTTATCGAGATTGTTAAGATTTTCTATTCATTTTTAAGCTCTTTTCAAACACAAGATTAGGGTTATAGGCCTCAATAGCCCTCGGATTATCAGCCTTTTACAATGGGTTGTCATTGGTGTAATAAAGGGTTGACACGGTGTGTATGTGTGTATGCGCGTGTGAGTAGTTGAGGGTTTGAAGGATATGTTTGTGCCTCATATTGACCGTCAAATATCGGAGGCCAGCTGAGGCGTTGGTGCTGTTTGCTCCCTTAACATTCCTCATCATCATCGCCGACGGGGGGAAGAGAAGCTGGGTCTTTGGCTTTCTCGCATATTGCGCTGGCAGCTGGCCAACGTTTTCCCCAGAAATCTTGCAATGCTTGTCAAATCGTTAAAATTTTGTAATTCCCCTACTTTAATTTTTCAATGTCTTGAAAACAACCGGAATTTTTAGTGACTATGAAGCTATGATTGCTTAATTATTTAAGCAAGCTTACTCTGCACACTGCATATTTTTGATTTTTTTGCGCTATTTAAGGTTCTTTCTGACTTTAAAATTTGCGGAATTCGTTTTGAATTGAAATACTGCAATATTTTTGTAAAATTCCGTGATAAAGATCTGATTTCTTACTTCCTTAACAAGCTTAATCAGCATATCTAGTATATCTAAATTATATACGGTATTGAAGACTTTAACTAATTTGAAAATAGGTTACCAATTTTCATTTTAACCAGAATTGTAGCCAGCAATTTCGGGAATTCTCAATAACGACAAATACATCCTCGATAACATTAAATGAAGTCAATTCGCCGAGCCTCAAATAACACTCGGATTTCACCACGTTTTCCGCTAATGCTTTGGCCGAGTACGCTAGGCTCCATAATTAACGAGAACGCGCGCTTCCCGGAAGTCCGCAATCTTAATTTCGGGGTTTGGCGATTTTGAAAAAGCAGATCTTTTGAAACTGATATCATTTGGGCAGCAATAACTTTTGGAGATTTTTTAACAGCTGTTGTTTCGAATTTTTCACAAACAGAAAAGTCATTTGTGTATGGAGAGCCAACTTGTTTGATGATTAAGCCGGTTAAACCAGATTGTGGACCCCGTAAGAGGCCAATTCCGTAGGGGGCGGGGGGGGCAGGGGTGAATATACCGGCCCGAAAAGGAACCCCTTTCGTCTCTTTCGCGAACGATTGCCTTCGTATTGCAGCAGGAGAAGCCGGTCTCGAGATGGCTTTCAACCGGACCCACTCTACCATATCGTAGGCCATTCAAGACATTTGACCATTCCAGGGACCGGCTTAACGTCACAGTGGCTGCCGTTGCTTTGAAATCAGAAATTCGGATGGACTTCTTTAAAGCCATGATTTTTAAAAGATATACAAATTAGTTTTTTAAAATTCATTACTATTCAACTTATGTCATAGTGCTTTGTAGGATTATTATTATATTATTATTATTATTACATGTTTCTTATATGATTTCATCAACCTTAGGAAAATCGTAATTTAGCTATAATAACCTTTTTAACACACAGTCTCAAAGATCCCCCAATGGCGACTCGAAACACGACTGTTGCTTCGAGTCGCCATTGGGGGGATCTTAGACGCTTTTTTCATAAAATTTGTAATCCAATAAAAGTTATCAGTTAATCAAATCAGTCTTTTCAAATTTGATTACGTCTGAAACTGATTCGAAATTTCCATTCTTTTGAAAACATTTTTCAAAAAGTTTTCCCACGCGGTGACGGCTGTCAACCCGCGCCAAATTATCGCCATGTATTTCGTTTCCCCTGGGAAAATTCCCACCATTATTTTTGCACCGTTCCACCCGGTTGATACAACATATTCCGTGTCTCGCATTGATTTAACAATTCATTCCAATTTTGCGGTTTCTTTTCTTGCTGTGAATTCCGAGATTTTCTGTATAGTCTGTCCTTTCATAAATCCTTGAATTACAGGATGACGACGGGTATTTTTGTAATAGAAGAAATTCCGCTTCCGGACGAGGTAAGTGGCTTTAAAAAACCTTAAAAACGTAGTTAGAATCTGGAATCAAATTCTATATTTAAGGTTCAGCCCGCTTCGATCTCACGCGAGAGACGGTCTACTGAAACTGTATATTGCGATGAGAATTCGAACAGCACCGACAAATCTGGGTAAGATCTATCGATTCAAAAAACCTTCCAATTTTTACAAATCGTAAAAAAAAGTGTAAGATCTGAATATATTTTTTGGGGATATGCATCTGATCTTAGTTTAAAAGTGTCCATATTCTAAATATATTATAATTACATAGTGCAAGTGCATAATTGGATACACCGGCTATATTTTATTTGTGTCCGTAGTAGGCGAGATCGATGTATGTGGTTGGGATCGAGAACCTGTTCTCCGGGATTTGAGGGCACACAGCCCACGCGGCATTTCTCTTTCTCGCCCGGAGATACCCTGCAACGGAGCACCATATAAATATTTATGAATTGAGCATCACATTGTCTTGATCTGAAGAAGCTTTCGTTAGAACCTTTTAGTATTTTCTAAGCTAAATTTTTCGCGCGTTGACCATTCGGCCATCCAAACGGAACCCACCATTTTTCCCTAACCCTGGAATTGATAAGATCCGAGTAGATTTACCTGTTATTGAGCATTTTGGCGGGGAAAAGGGGTGGGGTGTTTGCGACCTCCGAAAATGGGAATCGAAACGCCCATATCGCAACCATCGCCAATGGCGTGGGACTGGATTTTTGTCTGGCTTTAGTCTGGTTTAGTTTTACTCAAAACGTGCTCCCACTACCGTAGTCAGGAACTTACCCCTCAAATTGGCGAGATTTCAAAATCTGAAATCCCCATCTGACTCACTAACCCCTTGAGCCTGTCCACCAAAATTGGAATGATTCGACCGGTTCCAATTCCAAACTTCAAGGCCAAAAAGGGTCCGAGCAACCAGATCGATGCTGGCTCCTCGACCCCAGTATTGTATAGAGTTGGAAAGGGTTGAGTGGTTGTAGTAGTCAAAGAAGCACAGTGAGAATAGTCCTGCTCCCCCTTTTTCGACGCTCCTGTTACCCCTGCTCACCCAATTTCCAGCCAGATACCCATCGCTAAGCTTCGCCATGTTTCCCGCGTGGTGCACACGGTGTGTCAAACCGAACCTGTGTTGAGTGGCTATTATAATGGGCAGCGTGCGGTGTGAGTACATGGCAGTGAAATTTTTCACCGGCTTTTCTGCCTGAGCGACTCGTCGAAATTTGACCGCCTTGTGGTTCCTTTCTAATTACTCAACCTTTCGTTCTGGTTGGCTGATAAGATGGTGTGAGGGATGCTGGTTTTTTTGTATTGTTTCCATGGAGACTTTTCCGAAGCGGGGGACATTCAATTAAAGGCTTCATTTATTGGATAGGGATTCTATTATGCGGGTGTTCCCATCACTGGGAAGTCCCCGGAAAACCTGTCTATATTTGCTACTCCACCCACTTCCTTGCGGTTTTTGAAAAGAATTTTTTAATTAAGAACGTCCTATTACGTAGCAACGGTTCCGAACGCTCCCTTCTTCTCAATTTTCCGCTAATTACACACCCCGAAGAATTTTTCATGCATTTTCCATCGTTGCCACGGTAGCAATGATAGCGGCCAACCGGGTGTCTGCCCTTTTTATTCGCGAATTTGTAGCCCAAAAGCCAAAATCTGGTTTGCAAAAAGCAGTCGGTGGCCTGTGTTTTCCGATAACCTGGCGCGGCTGCGGCCAATTTACATAAACCAACCAGGCTTTACCTGGGTTGTTTTCGATTGTCAATAGTATCGATCGTGTGCTTAAGTAAATTTTGAATTTCAGCTCGATTGCATCGGTTCGACGGAAGCCGCTGACCGGGGTACTTAGAGTAGCTGTAAGTTTTTAAAAACTAATTAAGTTAATAAAACATGTATTTTTGTATTTGATCGTTGGCTAAAGGTTCCTTTTAGGAAGAATTCCCGTGTCCATCCATTTCTGGATCACCATCACTGCAAAAAACCGATGGGCCCCGGCTGGCAGCCAAATTGAAGGCGCTTCTCTCGTGTAAGTCGAGGTGTGGTTTCTATGCTTTTTAACCCTAACTTATCATTTTCCTGGTTTTGCTGCTAATTTTTGGGGATGCCTTGGGATTAACAGATTTAAATCTGGCTGAGGTGGAGGTCCTAACTTGAAATATAATTCGAGAAACGGATGCGCAACAATTTATAAATTTTCGAAAATCGAGATCTGGCGATGCTAGAGCTTATGTGGCTGGCAAAAGCCAAAAAAAAAACGTGTTCGATTTTTATTTAAAAAATCTATGAATATTTACATGGGAAAAGTTGGATCGGAGGGAATTTTCAACAAAAAGCCTGTGTAAAATACTGCCATCGCATATGTAGCTTATCGGAAATTTTCCCGATTAATCCATAACAAATTCAGACTTATCCGGAACTCCGAATAGATCCCTGGAACCGAAATACATACCGCGTAGTTCTCTGGGGGTCCCTTTATCCATTTTCCGTAGCAACGGCTCTTTCCGGCTTCCACCCAACTCTAATCATACCAATGTCTCGCCCTGCTCCCTTTCATTTCCCCACTAATTAGACCCCGCGGGTCGATCACACCAAGTGCACCACTTAATATTAAATCCCCGATTTGCTTGGAAGTGTATTTTAAAAAAGTCACGATTAATATCTTTTTAAAAAGAGTTTTTGATTCTCTGAACCCCTCTATCGCAAACCGAAGTTTTTGGCATCGAATTTTCGAACAAAAACTATTTTGAAAGGGGCTAAACTTGTTAAAAACTCTCAAATTAATGTAGATAGATAAGTAATCTACAAAATTATGTTTTTTGCTCCCGCATTTCAATGGACGATCCTAAATCAGATTTTAATATATTGTTAAATTTTGAACCGGCGCTTCCCATATATTATTTCAGTTAGTTTGAACCAGCAAAATATATTATTTTAAATAGTCTAAACATTGTTTTTATATCCTAAAATTATTAACACGTGTGCTTAGAATAAACCACTAATTTTTTTTATCCCTAATTTTATTTAATCAATCCTTAGGTCAACCTCAAATCCTCTAATCCCTGTTGCCAAAATATCCTTTATCACTAAAAATTGTTGACCTCAAAAAAATTCGCACAATAAATTTTTTCAGCTCCACTACAATGGTGCTACCTTCGACTAGTCACCAGCACCAACCGCCATCAGTGACGACGGTATGCCATATTTGCCGTCCCAAACATAGGCGCCCATTTTTGCAGCCACCAAACAATCGCCTCCCGCCCCTGCCCAAGAAGGAGCCGCCCCCTGTAGATGAACAGGTGATTTTTTTTGGCTCTCGGATCAAATAAACTGGCTCTTAGAACAACATTGCCCCTCCCGTTGCGCCCGTCGCTCCAAAAAAGCCACCACAAGAAAGGTGTCGGCCAGTGGAAGAAAAGGTATGTAGAAAAAGATGTTGGACAAAAAATATATCTATAGAATGACAAAATAGACTACTAAAAACGTACCGATAGAAAAAATCTTGGAAAATGTTTTAAAGGGACGGGCTAGGTATAATGATGGATTCGATTGCTGCTCCGCGACGCGCAACGTCCAATGCGCATTTGCCGCAATCCAATACGCAATGGAAGACCGTACGTGCGCGTTGCGCGCTATAGACAGCAATCTTCCATAGCATTGTCTTGCCAACCCCTTTAAAATTTCTAGACTTCCAAAAATTACAATAAGAGTTCACATTCAGCGCTTTTCAGATGCCATTCTTCTACATCTACCTGGCCCTGCTCTTCATCATAGTTTGTTTAGTGGCGTTAAGCGTTTGGAACTACTATTCCGCTCTGCAAACATACAAACCGTCCACATTATTCCCCCGTAATGATTCGCATTTGAATCGTGTTGAACGATTCAACACAACGACGAAAACTTGATTCCTATTTCTAGATCCCAAGATGTAAACCTTATCCTGAACATATCCATACTTGGTTCTAAAACAAAAAGGGGTTCCTGCTAGGCATCTGCAATCTGGTGCTCCACTAGACAGGGCCGCAATTTAGAAATTTAGAAATTGCGGCCCTGGAATTATCAATTTCCTTAAGTTTTTTTTTAATTTTCTTGAGCTTTATCCGGGTATTCATGTTATACGCTTCTGGTGTATATCCCTTTGCGAACAGCCTTCATCGCGAGTAATAAATGCTTTAATTCTATGCCACATATACATGCATCAAATAAAATCACCACCAGCGCTTGGCCGGACGTAAAAGATATGCGTCACAGTCCTTTTCACAACCAAATGAAAACTCTCGCGGACTACCGTAACTCATTTTGTCGTCTTGTTTTTTGGTGAAATGATCACAATGAAATTCAGGGCTGACCGAGTACTAAAACCACTGGGCGGGCTAAACCGAGATGCGAACAGCAAACAAAAGTGAGAGCATAAGGCAGGCGGGGGAACAAACGTTAAGGCACCAATTTTTTAAAGGGTCAGTTAGCGGAATGAAATAATCATAGACGTTAATCGATTAATAAACAGACAAACAGACTCGTATAATCGAGCCATCTTCAATCACAAGGTAAAAGCAATCTAGGGTACTTGTGCTTCTAGAAGAGTTCCGGGCATGCCGACCAATCCTGCTTCTTTTTGCATTCCCAGTACTCGCCAGTCGATCTAAAGGCACGGTCTCGAAAGGGATAAGAAAACTTACAAATGGCACATCAAGTTCGTATCCGGGTCCATCACTTTGACAAACCATTTGGGCGTGTGCTCTTTGTACACGTTACCTAAAAACTATTATTGAAAACGGGATGCAATTTACCATCTTTTAATGCTTTTTCAGCTTCTTGATCTTGTTTCCTTCGACGGGCCCGCTGCTTTTCCTCGATTTCAATCTTTCGCTTGTTCGCTTCGTCCCACTATAAAAAAATTTAAAAGCAATAATTTCCTTATATAATAAATTATGTCGATACAAAACCCCTACATTTCCCTCTTCCATCAAGCGTTGATCGGGACGCAATCGGCTGTCAGTCGGAGCCACACCTGGCTCTGGCTCGTTCAGCTCAATGGCAAACCGCGTGAAGCTGTACATCTTCTCGCACCCTTCACTAAAACAAAAAAAACACGTTCATTTCCATAAGCAATCTTACATCGGCTTGTGTGCTGTCCAAATCGTCTCCTTATCGCTAGGATTCGGCTTGGTGGAGCCCTAAAAATTCCGTATTAAAACGAATTTTGAAAGAAAACCGACCGCAGAGAGCTTGGCTTTCCACAAACTGGAATCCCACGTACCGCCAATCGCAAAACGGGCCACTTTGTTTTGGTCAAGCACGAGACCGCCAACCTAATACTTTCTTTAAAATGGTATCCAAATGTGCCCACCTGTCTTTGAGCATCCTTGCCAAAATAAGAATAGGGCGAAAATTTGACGGTGCAGCGATGATCGTTGCTGTGGTTGATAATCTCCATATCGCCATGGTTGTCAATCCACAAACGTCCGACAATAATGTTATGAACCGTTGTTGTCACCTAAGAATAGACTTATTTGGAAAAACTCGGGTAACGCTTACCTTCGTCAAGGAATAATGATGATTCGTATCATTAAAAATGATATGTGTGCGGCCGACCGGGATGACGCTTAGGAAGCGACCCCTAAAACGTGGAATCTAAGGAAAATAATGCTCCTAACCTAAATCGGGAGGTCATCGTAAACTCTTGATGTAACTTCCAGCCTCTTCCTTCAACAAAATGCGCAGCAGCAGGTGGATGGTGTGAAACCTGGAGATGTTCAAAAAAATCAGGTATGAAAGGGGGCTATACCTGTTCAGTGATGCTGCGCCACCCGTATTCGGCTCTTCTATCGCATTCAAAAGTTTCGCCTAGCACCGGATTGAATGGCTTTGTCGTCCGGTCTCCAGTGGTTGCATAACTGAAAAGAAACACTCGAAAAACGAGTTACTAATTCTTATAAAAAGTGTGTTTTTCTAACGCCGAATCTATATAATATACTAAAATACAGAAAGAAAGCGAAACTATACCTGCTGACAGCAAACGCGGCCACATAACACATCTGTTCGGCCGGGTCCAAACCAACAGCTTTATCAAGAAGATACGCATATTCCAAATCTTCCGTAACCCTTTGCAACATCGAGAGCGGCTCCGAGAAGTTCACCTCAAACAAGATAATAATAAAATGGAGCCTATCACAACTAACCGGCATCGGGATCTTGCTCAACTCGCGGCCTATGCAATTCTTCATGATGCTCCATAGATTGAGCGGGTAATTCGGCCGTTCGGGAATCTTTATGCGGCGCGATTTGATCGTTGCTAAGGAGGTTTGTTCAAGGTCATTCCCGTTCGGCATTATAACAGCTGCGGAATCTCCCAGTTCAGGCTGAAAAAGTGGGGATTGGTGAATGCTGCCATCACTCTCTTTGTACCTCATTAAAGCTGCATGGCTCCGGAGAATTCTGGTCGAAATTGTGTGAGCGCTTGGAAGAATCGTCAGTCGTAGTGTCCGATAGGCGAGATGCGGTTGATGATCTTAAAAAAAGGTTTAAAAACGTGAAAAAAGATAATAGATTCGCCCAAAATTCAAAGAATTCAGATTACTTTTTATTTTTCCGGTTAAAGAATGCATGAATTTTTGGCAGATCCATATCGAAGGGCGCGATTGGGACAGGTCGGATTGTTGAAATAAAGAATCGGAAGGGACGAGGATGTTTAACTATGGACGGAGAGGATGGCGCGCGGGCCTCCCCCACGCTGGCAGAAGGGAATCGATTCACCAAAGGGAGACCGTCCTCCACAAAAGAAACGGCGAAATCCGGAAGACCTACATACGAAAGCGGAAAACATTTCGGATTGATTTTCTACACTTATTCATGGAAATTTAAGAAAATTTGGCATTTCCTCATCGATTTCCCCGTAAAATTTTCATTATCGTAACATCTTGCTTTTCATGTTCCTGTATTTCATGTATTTAATTTTTATTATCCATTATAAACCGCTAAAGCCGTAGCCCCAGATTTAGCAGAAGTTTTCAAAATTGCTATAAAATTAGGTAATGTTTCCAAACCAAATCCCATTAAATCGTCCAAAAAACTATATTTTAAGTGACGTCTAAACCTAAACCAAGGCAGAACGATCGAATGCCAGGTGATCGGGCAGCCCTTGTGAGACACGGGGGTCGGCGCCGAAATCGCGCAACAAAAACAACCCGAGGGCCGAGAGACAGGCAAAGGAGGGAGGTAAACTCGCCAAACTTGCCTTTTCCCGTCTTCTACTCTCCCCCACTTTCTCCTCCCCATTCACTTCCGTCACTTTCCCCCTCCATTTATCAGCCTTGTTTAGGCCCCATAAGCAATTAGCTAAGTAATAGGGCCGGCCCGTACCATTCTACAATTAGTTGACCCCTAATTTGGAAAGAAGCTACTGCATTTCGTGCCGCTCGGATCTTAAAATGTTTTTACCTTCTAACATTCGAGGTCGTGAACTCTTCCTCGGCATCGTAGAAATCGTCCAGATCGCCGACCAGAGAGGAGCGCTTCACCATGTTTTCCAGAGTATTTTGTTGATGGGCAAGGGTCAGGATTTGTTCTTCCAACCTGAAAAGCCAGGTTTGGAACCTTCAGGTGATGAAATGATTTTACCTTCCGTTTCTTTGCCGCTCACGCTTCAGCTGCATCTCCAGACGAGAAACTGTGTCGGTAGCCGAATCGTTCAATTCCTTTGCCCCTTTCATTATCATCATTGTAGTTAACTAAAACACTATAACAACTCCTCATAACAATTCCACACGTTGATCCAATTGACGCCATTGTTGATCTTCTTCAAATCGACTTCGTTATTTGACAGCTCAGGGACAAGCTGATTGACTTGCTTTTCTAAAAAAGGTCGTTAATCGTTAGGATATCAAATACCTAGCAGTTTGCAACTATTCTGGAGTTCCTCGTGGACGCTCTTGTAATTAGGGTGCTTGCTTTCCTTGACTCCATTTGATGAATCCGAGATGGCGGCTTCTGCGTCGAAATCTTCTTCTAAAAGAATATGTTTTATATGATGCATACGCGCTATTTTCCATGGCTACACACGGGTTTGAATTTAGAGTTTTTGGGTTTCGGTAAAAGAAAAAACACCGCAACATCTAACTTTATCAGAAATTTTCTGACCTTTCTGCGCGGCAGTGATAGCGTTGTGACGGGCTAATTTTAGGGCCTCCATCCATTCATCGCGAGCTGTCGAACTGCCGGCTTTGAGGTGATAACTTTGCGACGGAGCTGACACGACAAATCCGGAGGTCCCCTAAGCGAACAGTTTGCAAAATAAGCAAATCTTACATGATCCAAGTAAACATTTGCGTCCCGCAAATTTATCCTTCCACGAGGGCACGGCTCAACGCCATCATCACTAAATTTCCGACTGAAAACCTGTAGAGCCAGTTCAAAGCAAAACAAAAGCGGGAAGAATTGAGGGGAAAACTCACTTGTACTTGTGGTAAGAGAGAAATCCGTAGGTGTCAAGGACGAAATGGCGCTTCCGGTAGCCCTTGATGTAGTTTGCCCATTTGTACAGATCCTCTCTCTAAATTTATGAATTATTATAAAAAACAGCGTTGAATATACCTTTACGATCTTGTGCTTCTCATCCATGAGAGAAGACCCGGTTGGGACCGGGCTGTGTGGGCCCGTCAGCTGAATAGAGCAAAAGTGTATTCGAAAGTAATCGAAAAATAATATAATAAAAGAAAGAAAAGAAAATAAATGAAAAAGAAAGTGGGTCACGAATACAAAGCGAAACAATGACGTACATAGTACCAAACGGAATCTTGTAAATCTATCGTTTCGTCAACATTTTAGCCATTTTCGGGTCATCAATTATTTCTTGCAAAAAATTTCCGAAGCCCGAGACAAAATGCGCGAAAAGGAGGCAAATAAAGACCGGTTTTAGGGCTGAAAGGGCAACCTTACGCGCATCCCCCAACATATCGAATTCTAGCTCTCTAGTCGGGATAAATACTCATTGGCTTATTTGGACAAGAACGTAGGAAAAGTTATAGGAAATTACTTTAAATTTAGCATTTGTTGAACAAATTCAGATGGAGGCTTTGGAAAAATGAAATCAGAAATGGAATGCTTTCGTCTAGCTGTGTTCGAAGGAGCCTATGGTCATGATAGTGTGAAATTGACTTTCAATCGTTCACGAGTTGTTAATCGAAACTTCTGAACCGAAGCTTTCGTTTGCAAAAGTTAAAACGCTTATAATATACTTTCCGCATAGGATAGACTATGCTTTGGAACGAATTTGACGCGCGTAAGTCGTTTGGGCATGTAAAACCGTTCTTCACGTAATCGAAAAGCCACGCGAAAAGGGCAAATTGAAATAGACGGCATTATACGTAGATTATTAAAAATTAAACGGTAGATTTTACCAGCGTGAATCTGCTGCGTTCCGAAAAACCACGTTTGTAACCCAAATAGCAATTCAAAAACGCGCTCGAAAAGTGCAGATTGAAAGTATACGGTTGGTGTTCGGGATTACATGGCTCTGAACGGGTGAGGTGGTGGAGGACTAGGGGGCCGGTGTCAAGGAGCAGGAGGTTAGAGAGGGAAGGGGAGATCTACGCAGATAGGTTCTGGATTTGAGGAGGCACAAGGAGGAGGAGATGGAGGGAGAATGGTTGGTGGGCTGGATGGTTGTGCATCAAGGCAGCGAGCACACAGCCGATGGGGTGGAATGGAGATTGCCTGAGGATATGTTTCCTCCGGTGCCCCTAAGGGACTGAATGAATGAGACGGACTGTCCGATCGGCTAGGAGCAAGCGCAGAAACAAAGGAAGACACCTCGGACGTGGCTCGTCTCGCAAGCTTTCCTTTCCATTTTTCCTTTTTTCTTCTTTCACCCAGGATCGATCCTGGCCCCGCGCTGTGAAGAACGGCCCTTATGAATATCCGACCCCCGCTACGACGGGAAACAGCTGGCATAGCATGGGTAAGAGCGCGATGCATTACACCATCAAAAGGTCAGTACAATTTGTGCGCGAAATTTTGGGACCATGACGTTTCCGCAAACGCCGAAATTGCTCGTAAAATGCGTGTAATAGTCCTAACAATTATTTTCTTACATGGACCTATACATTTCGGAAGAAATAACTAAGTTATGGTGGTTCATGAAAAACAGATTTTGCGCGGGGAAGGTAAAAATCGCCATAGCCCAAAACAATCATCCCGCATCGTAATTTCTTCTCTACTAGTCTCTACTTAATTTAATTTAATTTATTGATACCGAAACCACAAAGAAACTGTTGATTTGGACGGTTTTATATGTTTTTGACCCAACAATTGCAGAAACGTCATGGTCCGGAAATTTCTCCGCAAAAAACGGGGAGGTGCTTTCGTGCCTAGACGAATTCTGAAAATAACTTCAAGAAGATCGTAGGAAACTAGAACGTATGGATCGATTTTTAGCAGTTTCAGGGGGAGAAACGCTCGCAGCCTGACTCAACGCCAACAAAAGTGGTAAACAGCGCCGGCCAATAGGCATCGATGAAAAGGTTTCTCCACGAACGATAGACTATTGTTTTGGTGTGAATCGTTTCCACAAATGGCTAGCGGACCTTTTGTGGCGAGGGGGAAGGGGGTGAAGCATGGGGTTTAAACCTGACGGTTCATTCCTTTTAAAGCAATAAATGACGACGGCCACTGAATGGTTCATAGATTAGAACGGTTATCTATAACCTATGAATCGGTGATTCATCATAAAACGCGATAAACCGACTCGGTGGATCCGCGGAATTACGCCCTGATTCACCGAAAGGAGGGCCCCTAAGGGCCGCATACACACTTTCAGCCAAGAGCAAATAGAGACGGCAAGGCTACGTCCGTCGGTTCGTCCTTTAGGCGAGAGGTAACACGGGACCTTACACTCCCGATTTCAAGATAACGGATAAAAAGTTTGATCGCTGGGGTTTTGCCGGGTTTTAGGTGTCTGTTTAATGGAGGGTATAAATTTTAGATACCTAGAAACCACGAAACTGTACTATAAACCAATAGGCTGGGCGAGAAAAGAATATTATGTGATTTATAAATTAAAAATATTAAATTGACTTACGATTCCACTGAAATATTATTACAAAGAATTAATAAAATACAGATGATTAAGATAATTTAGTAACCAATCGATTAACATCTGCATTTTCTGGATAATATCGTGACCACGGGCCCTAAATCTGATTGAAGGCCCACGCCAAAAAAATTGTGGAGTCTTGTCCCTTGCTTGATCCCCCCTCACCTGGCGGTGATAAGCCTTTTTGTTCCTTCGAACTTTCGCGTGTTTGCAATGGAAACAACGGTGTGGCGGAGGGTGTTTGCAATTTTAAAGCGCGTGTAGCTGACTCAATACAGCGAGGAAAATTCGAGGCTAGGAGGGCAAAAAATAGGGGCCATCCTGGAGGCTGTTCGTCTCTGCTCCGACCTCTCTCATGCGGCAGACCAACGGGGCAAAAAAGGGGGAGAGGAGGAGGAGGAGGAGAATGAGAAAAGGGAGGGCGAAGAGAAGGGCATGGCAATAACACGTTGTGCTTGGCGAGATCCCTTTACGGTTAGAAGAAAACAAAAACAGTGCCTTGTGGAGAGTGAGAAGTGAGACTGTCCCACTGGACGGAATGATCTGTTGAGATGCACTTTAGAGGACTAGCGCCTGTCGGAAAAAGCGAGTCGGCGCTGAAATACTGTAAGGAATACCTGCCGGAAAAGTAGAGAGTAGCAAATAGTAATATCTTTTAATTATACTGTCGCTTTAAGGGGTAACGTCACGTTCAGACATTAGCGTTATGTTGCTATGTATACACCAATTTACGCCGAGAGGCCAGGACAAAGGGAGTGGCGTAGACATTCTTAGGTGTATACGCACTAATAAGTAAGTCTGCGCTTTAAAGGAACGAGTAAGGCATGATCGCTTCTACTTTTTATTTTTCCTCTTTCCAACGCGCAAGGCGCCTGGCGTCTTTTGTGTCGTAATGGATTACACTTCTTCAAAGATCCTTACTTCTATCGGGATCGACGTTGAGATTGATAGAGGCAAGACTTAAAGTGACCTTCAGCCTGCCTTACATACTCCTTTAAAGGTATGGTAGCATACTTAGATAGTTAATTTTTTAGAATTCTTGGCTGCTTTCCGGAAAGGTACGTTCTCCGATTCCCCTTGAAAAATTTCCCATTTTTACCCTGTGCCCCCGTTCCAGATGGCTGGTGGCTGAAATTAAAATTTGACGATTAAACAAAAAGTCAAATAGAGCGCGATGGGGTTGATTGACACGGCAAATGGGTGAGGCCCTTATCAATGTGTCAACCGAGTGTGTGCCTGTGGTGTCCCTCCATACCAACCAAAAAGGCTTCTTCCGGACAAGTCGATACCCACTCCCCAGACTATCCAGGGCCATGGTGTGGGCCCTAAATGTTGGGTTGTTATTTTTGGCGATTGCTGGCTCGGATGGATGTTTCTTATGTCCACTTCGAGAACCGCCACGGCCTCGTCCACTGGATCAATTCGAATTGCCGACGCTTGGAAAGATGCCTTCCACCGACAAGGTCCCGCCACTCTGTGACTACTCCAAAAAATTGCCGGTCAATGGTGGGTGGGCCAATATCTACAGGATTGCCAGCCGGGCTGTATCTATCCCAGCAGTTCTCTTATAAATAGTCCAGTCGTAAATCGGGTCGTAAATTCGGGCTGGGGGTTCGAAATAAGGACTGGGAGGAGCTTTGTTGGATTAGGGGAATTTTGAGAGCACACAGTGTGATGGCTAACGGTAGCGTTATTTGCGCCAAAGTCGAACTATTTAAATATATTTAGTTTAGTTTGAGATTTCTGAAACGACGCAATGATTTTCTTACGCAAGCCATTAATTCTTTTTTTGGTCGATGTTAGCTTGTATATTTCGAGGATTCGAGCAGATTTGTAAGGTTCGGCAGTAAAGCATTTATCAATTTTGAACAGCTATAAAAAGTCTACTAGAATTTTTTACTATGTGCATTTCAATAATTTCCCAAATTAATTAGCTTTAATATAAGATTTTAGAACTTTCAAAGCGTACTCGCAAGCCCCACCGTTTTTGCTATACAGGTTGCCTTATCCAATAACATTTTTTTAGAAGATCAGACCAAATAGTAGCCACCTTTTTTCAGGAAGTTGCCAAGAAGCCTTCGAAAGGCTCCTATGTTCAGCCGAAACATTCTATTCGGCAATCGTCAAAGGCTGTCCTGGAAGTGATGATCCCGATGCATGCTCAAGCTGTAGCCGGGGGAAAGATGCAAGCACTTGGGTGGTTGGATGTTCGTAAAACTAAAAATTCTTGTAAGAATGAGATTTAGGGTTTGACTCTTTGGGAAAGCCACCTTCCGGTATCAGCGATGGAAACTATTACTGGTTGGGGGACTACGAAATTTGTCATGATTTGAGAGCGTTGGTTCATTCAACGATTGTAATGTCGATTTAGAAAACAAAAATTTATGGGTCAATATTGTCGAGTGGAGTTGGAGATTCCCGATGCATTGGTATAAAAATTAAATCTGTGTTTCAAGAAATCCTATAATTTAATTAGGTAGAAGCCGGATGCCAGCAGACCGATCCGTTGGCCATAATTTTGGGCGTTTGTTTCCCAGCTGAATGCAGTAAGGCAGAATTGACAGCTGTATCCTCATGTAGGAAAATTTCAAGTTTTAATGTTTACTGAACCCGTTTTAGCATTGGTTCCCTACAAACTCACCGTGGATTGTGAAGTCCATACCGAATGGTCGATGGCCGCAAAAATATTTTTGTAAGTGAATTTCAGGTAGAAAATTAAATTTTTATTTTAGGACTTTAACTGGTATCTGGGTGTTTGTAGTATTGGTTTGTACTGCTGCTCACATCCGGAATCCAGATTTGGGATTGGTCTTTTACTGCCTCTCCCTACAGGTCAACGGAGCGAGAGCCCTCTCGACCAAACGGTGAGACATCGAAAATTACATTGAAAACCCTTCTAGTGACTATCAGCTACACGCACAACAGGGTCTCGAGTTTCTTACGTATTTGGTGCTTATAATCGGTATCGTGTACAGCTATATGCTTCCTTATATCGGTAAGATCACAGTGGATTCAGTCATTTTAGCTTGCGCCATTTAGAAAACGTCTCATTTGCATTTGATGCCGTTAGCGATGCTCGGATGCATTTAGTCAATAATTATTCATACCATGTATGGGCTGCTTTAAGCGGCGGTTAAATTAGTTTTATTAGATCGACGGCTTGTTGGCGCTAACATCATTATTTACGACGTCGCTGTTAATGGGTCACATTTTGTCTTATAAAGACATCTTTCGAGCGGTCATCAGAAAATTGGCTAGGTACGTTTAAACTATCATAGTATCCACATTTTTCTAAACCTATGTATTTTCAGATTTATGCCCAGCTACGCGTTTATCATTGCATTTATGGGAATTGTTTTTGCAAATGTTGCTTCAGGTAAGCTCGATCTTTATGAGATGGGTCTTTTCCAGGTCCACTGTGGATTCATGGCGACCTTGTCAAGAGATGTGAGAGTTCGTGGTGGAAAAACCTCTTGTTGATCAATAATTTCTATGGTGTTAAGGAAACGGTATTCAACGTTATCCAATTTTATAAATCCCTTTATAGTGTGTTGATTTTGGGCATGTTATTTCACTGGAAGCACAGTGCTTTGCTGTACTGATAGTCTTGATTTGTTTGGCCTACCATCGGCCAGTCATCGCACAGGTGATTACTACGAAAATACGGTAAAAATTAATTTTGTAAATATTTCCAAAACTGTCAACTTTAATTATATATTTTCAGGGTGTTGCCGTAACCTTGACAATCCTCTCCATCATTGTCACTTTTTATATAATCCTAACTAATGCTCTTCCGCCAGCACCAATGCTATCTGCTGAACCGGTTGAGTCAGTCCTAAAAAACTAGCTAAATAACTTCATTATCATTTAGCACCTTCAAAATCGAGTTCCTCCTTTCAAATGTTGTGATAGCTTTCTTGCCAAGACTATCTGCATATATGATTGGTTTCCTCTACTATTTCCGCTTTAACTTCAGTGAGGTAAATCTCGGATTTCTGACCAAACGATTTCCTTGAATTTTCAGACAGAGGAGGGTAGCATCGATGCAAACGGAAACGAGAAAATCGTGCACAAGAATCGTTGGCAAGCCTATCTTCTGGCGGCCGCAACCTGTCTCGTCGTGTCCGGTGTTGCGTTTGGAGTGTTGGGGTATGCATCTACAAATCATGGTGAGATTTTGGCAATAACTACTGTTCAAGATTTTTATCTTTAGGGGCCACACTTTGGCTAGCTGCTTATGGATCGTTGCATCGGCCCGCCTGGGCGTTTGCTGTTATTTCGTTGTTATGGCTTTGTCAAAACAAGACTTTCAGTAGGCTTACCTGTTTATTGGGAATAATTCCTTTAAACATTTAGGCGAATTAAATGCTTTCCTATCTTGGCGTCTATTTTCGCCGCTTTCGAAGCTTACTTATCAGGTAAATGAACAAGAGGCTATCCAATGCTCAGGAAAAACATAGAACTTTAGGACTCTAGCTTATCTATTTGATTTTTTCTTACTTTAATTTAGGCATTGATCATTGCCGAGCCCTTGGTGCTATATTTCTATTCGGCAATGCATAGACCAACGCACGCAACCCATTGGAGTTCTGTAAAAATAATATTCAATCCGCTTTATACCTTTTACATTTTTAGATTTACACAGCTGTTAGTACTGCGGCCGTTGCATACCTTTTTGCACTCCTGATCGATATTTTCCTTGCAAGACCCCTGCGAAATCTGATTTATAGGTTCGTCATTATTCGAAAGTGAAATTCATATTTTAGCCGATCAATTCACCGCCGAAGATACACAATCCCGGGCAGAACCAATTCATTGCGCACTGGTGTTTAGCTAGGAGACAATTATCTTTATTTATTCCATTCAATATTGCAAATAAAATCGGCTTCACTGGGTATATTGTGACACGAATCGAGGAGTTGACTGGTATGTTTGAACTGTAATTTGCATCGAAAGACAACAAAAGAAATAAACAGCAAGATAATAAATAGTTAGTTACGGGGGCAGGCAATGGACGCATTGAAGGGGGGAAGGGCGATTTGTTCAAGGGGTAGGTTTTTGGGTAGGTACAGGTGGCTACATATGTGCATTGCTAACAATGTTTCAGAGAAAGCGGTGGAAAAGGCGTTGGGTAGAGATCACTGATCAACGAGCTAGAGCAGTTATACTGAAGCTAGGACGTATTTTTTCAAGTGATTGGGCAGGGGGAGGGCTTCGATTTTTGAAGGTCGTAGTGGGCCCATTTCACGAAGTCGGATACGGCAAAGGTGTTCAAGGCTACGGGGTGACCTTAAAATTTAGAGTTTCGATAGGTGGTTGCGCGCAAAATACAGTAATGCATCCAGTAATTCCAATTGCTACTTACTTGTTCATTTCCAAAATCGCCTGCTTCACTGGGTCCGAGAAGGGAAGCCGCAGAACAGCTTTCACATCCACGTCCTCTTCTAAAAAATTTAAACTGGTGAGTCGAAAGGTGTAAAAATGCAATTAAATTAAATAAAATTTTTCAAGAAAATATAACGCACCGGCAATGTCCAGCATTGCATACACGATATCGCCCTGTCCTTGGGCGCCTAGCCTCAAAATATTCCGCAGTTGGCCAGCCTGATGGGTGGTTGGTGTACGCAGATATACTTTGGCTCCATAGCCCAGGAGAAGGGAGATGACTTCACGTTCAACCTGAAAAACCGAGCCTTGCCATCGTGATTTTATTCGTACCACATCTCGACTCCGGAAGTATTCAACGAAAGGTGTCTTCAGAACCGAGCCATCTCCGAATTTGTGCTCCAGATTTGGGTCGGCACCATGCTCGAGAAGGATGGTCAAGATCTAGAAAACAAATCCGTATTTTCGTAGCGCAATCGAATGCATCCGTAGATTTCTAAAAATGTATCTAACCTCTTTCTGATTCTTCAAAATCGAACAGCAAGCCAGATGCAAAGCCGAGCCGATATATGTGTAAACTCGATTCGGGTCAGCACCAGCGACCACGACTTCCTGAAAACAATTCTACACTTAACTTTGGTATATATCATTGATAGCCGGGGGATACATGCCTTCTGGGGGTCCAGGCATGATGCGTCGAGGAGTATTTATAAAAATTTACATATTTTCATGCCCGCATGCAACGAATAGATATTTTTTCGCGTCTCTACCCCTTTCCTGAGACCCCATTTGTGAAGACAGCAGTTCAAAAAGGCCTAAAAGGAGTGGAAGGTAGATGGAAGAGACAGCTGCTAGTTTAGAAGATCCCCACGAACCTGGAGAAGGGCAGGATCGTCCTTGAGAACTGCAATATCAAGGATCGAAGGCTTCTCGTAGTCGGTTGGCAGTTGGACATCAGCACCTTTCTAAAAATAAGGGATAAATTATGGAAATTTTTTGGACCTCGATCAACAATCGTACGGTTGACTTTGAGCCGGAGAGCACGGCATAGTGGAGGGCCGTCCGGAAATCGGCTCGTGGTGAGCCACGCAAGTTGATGTCAGCCCCATTGGCCACCAGAACCTAAAATAAAAAATTTACCTTGCTAATTTTAATCAATGATTGTTTATTCAATATTCAGAAAATAATTTTAGTACCTCAATAGCTTTTTGACCTCGTTCACCACGCTTTGCGGCGATCATTAATGGGCTCATCCCCTTTCGGTCGAGCGCATTTGGATTTGCGCCAAATCGGAGCTGAAAGTTTTTTCAAATTATTTTTTGCAAAGTGTACTTATAAAATTAGTGTATTAACCGGGCACACCAGTGATAAAACTCAACATACCAAAAGCTCCAAGAACTCGACATAATAATCGTCATTAGCTGTGAGTAGCGTTATCTCAGGCCCATCAAAATAGATGGCATTGGGGCTGAAGCCGGCTTGAAGCAGGAGCTCTGCGCTTGAGAGATGACCATTCTTTATGGCTTGCCTGAAGCGGGGAAAATGGCATCTGGTGGTACCTGTCTACCTCAATGGTTCGTCCACCGTATCTCGGCTTGGGTATCGTCCATTTTCGTCTAATTCCATGATTTGTTCAAAGGTAGAGATGGTGTCGACGTACTGGGAAATGATAGTAATGTAAAATTATAAATTGTTTACTCGGAGTAACAGTCTAACAAGTGGATCATAGCCATGTTCAGCGCATAGATGAAGTGGGGAGCAGCCGATGGCATCCATTGCATCGACCTAAAGATATTTATAAGATGTTCTTGCATATTTTTCGGAACTTTTGTGCAGATTTTTTTACTTTTAGATCAAGTTTTCAGAGAACATACCTTTGCTCCAGTCTCCAGCAACACCTTAGCTGCCAAGAAATTGTTAGAATGGCATGCGTAGTGTAGGGGAGTTAACCCGCGAGTCACTTCTCCTCCAGCTTGTGCTCCGAGGGCAAGCAGCGCATTCAATTCATCCGTCGAGCAACATTCCGTGATCTTATCTGCGAGTTCGCGCTGAAATTAAGCATTTTTCTTATTTCGCTTTTCTTCTTTCCAGAGAAGTCTTCAACCACTGTTTTTATTCATCTCAACCCCCAGCACTTTCCTTCAAAAACTCAAAAGGGCAACCAGCCAACCCAAATAGTAAACAAGTTCGGGGGCCCACTGACTAATCAGACCCTGTTTTCCCTGCCCGATCATCTTCAAGCCAGCGTTGAACCTCAGTTGAATCAGCTGTTTTGTCAGGGTTCGACCCCCCCAGACTAAAAGGGGCTAGGGGGGATCCGCGTGAGAGCCTAGAGCGAGAGAGACGAGAGATATAGAGTGTCTGGTTGGGTCAGAAAAAGGCTGGCGACCAAAATATCGCACTCGAGGCCCGGGGAAGGGTCCCGATCAGCTGGGCCCATCTGACCGCCACATGGGGGGACCCATCGGTCCGTTCGCTCAGCTGACCACCGTCGTCACGCAGCGACACGGAATGACTCAGGAAACGGATGGGCCCCGAAGACTAGTACTATGACCGACCCCCTCGTAACATCCGCTGATTGGGAAGGGGATGATGAAATAAAGGGGGAAAGCTGCAGTGGAAAACAAAAGTGACGGGGCAGATAGGGTGGAAAAAAAGGGTTTTTAGATCTTACTTGTAGCTTTATCTGGCGCTCTTCCATCGGGGACATTGGGGGCGTTTCGTCCGCTTCGCTTGTTTGGTTCATTTCGATTTCTAAAAAAAGAAATTTTAATGATATAATAGAATTTATTTTTAATAAAATCAATAAACAAGACCACAACGTCATTGAGAAAGAGTAAGTAATGAAATTTAAGTTTCAAAAATTAGGGTGAGGTTGAAAAAAAAAACTTGGGAACTGGGAAATTGTTACTTAAAACATTGAGTATAATCAGAACCTGTCTTAATGCACAGATGAGCGGCATAAAATTAAAGAAATTACATTTAGATTATAAATTAAAATCTCAACCAACTGAGGTGAAAATTTTTTTCTGAAAATTTGGGCGACGTCATCAAGAAGTTAACAGCTTAATTAAAGATATTCGGTGGTGATAATTGGCCTTGCAATTATATTGATAATGTAGAAAATATATTTACAAAGAGGCATAACCATATGATGCCTTAATGCCGATGTGATTGAGGTAAAGGTACCTTCAGGCTAGAGTTTAATATATAATAGTTAGGTATTAAACGAAAAGAGGGAATTATAATTAAAAGTATGATTAAAGTATCGTAACGTAGAGCCCGGAGCGCCGCTTCCACCCGACTGAACCCCCCTGAAAAGCATATGGAGGCCCCCAACGGATGACCGGTGGGTCACAAGTGTCCCTCCACCACCACCCCAACCCCCAAAGCGACAAACATAAACAGGGAAGGCCCCTGCCATCAAAAGACCCTGCGAAAAGGACGCCCAAATAGATGCTTATAAAAGGGTAAACCTGGGACATCTTCTCCCCAAAGACGAGGGTTCAACTGGGCGGAGAGAACAGCTCCGAGGGCACCGATCACATGTTCAGAGTACAACCCCGGGATTTGACCACACAGGCCTCGGGCGCCCAGGGCAACTACCTACCCGTCGTTGGATAGACAGACCTACAGACACCCCCCTACCCTGACTCTTGACACCTTGTGAAACCTTGGCTTATTCGCGGAAAACAACCGGCTAAATATTGACAAAAGAGAAACAATAATAATGGGCGAAAGGTGGACAGTGGAAAATTGTTTTTGGCAACTTGCCCAGAAAATATTGCTTTGATTCTTAAGGTTCCCTGGGTTTTCAAAATCCACCGCTCGGGGTTGATTTTTTCATTGTTTATGCAAATTTAATGACGTGGACGCACCGGAATTGAGGGTCCTTAGAAGACGCTTAGATGAAAAATCGTAAGCCGTTTAGAGGAGCGAAGCGTAGTGCGTCAGCAGCGGTAAAATTTCGTACGGATTTATTTTAAAAAATGCATTAAAAATTACTTACTAATTTAAAAATCCATTAAAAATCAAATACAAATTTATTCGGAGCCTTTTCTAAAATTAGGGTTTAATTCAAATATTTAGCGATATGCGGCAAGATATAACGTATGGTGATAAGTAAGATCTTCCAGGAAATCAGAACGCCACCCGCCAGCTGCACCTTGTCGAGCTTGACAGTCAGGCGGAACGAAAATGGGCGGAAAAGCCGGGGGTAGAAGAAGGGGTGTCAGAAGCCGGATCCGCGTGCGAGGAACTGGCGTACAGCCAACCAAGGGGGGAGGGCCGTTCCCTCATCCCATCGGGACGATACGAGTGGTTGTTGTTGTTTGGGAGGGCCCATCCAGGTTCGAGAAGACCATGGTATGGAGGTCCCGATTCAACCGGACACAGGCCCCTTTCGGTTGTTTTCCCCCCATTCTCTACCACAGCCAAGGCGGCCGGCGAACTACTCAAGAACATCGTGGTGATTTAGGGATTTAGGGTTCAGGCACTATAATGGGGCTTAAAGGAAGCAGGCATGGCGGAGCCAAATTCATATGCTCGGGTCGATTTCCTACCAAAATATAAAAGGTCAAATCACCAAAATACAATTTCTTGAAAATCGGTTAGCCGAAAATTACGTTTCCTCCAACTCATTTTGTCAAAATCTCAATAACTTAAAAAAAAGAATGGAAAAATCTGAATCTTCCAAAAACACCCCAAACTCCAGCTGCATCACCCCGGGCTGTTTATTGTCTTGAAAAATACAGATACCGGATACCGTTTTATGATTTCGACAAGATGAAATTTCCACAACGCAAAACTCTATAAACATGTGATTCCTAATTTTCAACATTTAAGTACTTCATTAGAACCTCCCTGAAACGGACAAAATTCGGGTTCAGAAACGATTCTCCAGTGAGGAACCCGATCCTTCGTTGCCTTTTTCTGGAAGCGCAGACAAATTTTTCGAAGCTTTACAGTGACGGTTAGACGAATGGGTCACATTGCAGTTCCGTCCAGTCGGTAAAAAATTTCGCAGACTATCGTGTTTCAGCAAAAACCGAAACGGGTGATGCGAGATGTCTTTGGGCTTCAGCTGGACGGGCAAGGGGTAAAAAGCGAAAGCCTGGAAAATTATACTCAGAGATTTAAAATTTTTACATCTAAGATAGATTATATAAAATCAAATATTTAAATATTGAAAACTGATTGAATGTAAAGCGTTATCATTAATGCACCAATAATAACGCATCCTTGAACCGCATCGCAGAGATTTTTCCGACTAGAGTGAGAACTAGAGCTTTCGCTTGTCATTTTTCGGGTAATCTTTTAATATAGCAAGAGATTAATTCAGATTTTGAAAGCACCATTAAAAGCTTCATATATTTCTCGCTTTTTTAGCCACACGCCTGCAATAAACTAGGTTGGCCCCCGGGTTTCTTTGGTCACTGAGATGCTTCTTACAACCGATCTGCCTCTGTTTGCCACCCTCACACTCCTCCAGCAATAGGGCCATCTATCGATTTTCTGCCATTATCCACATCCCGAAAATCCTTAGAGTTTTTTTAGCCAGACATTTTGTTTTTAACAGTATTATTCTAGTTTCGAAAATGTCCCTTCCATCAGCGGCGCGTGGCGTAACAAATGTTGTTATTCGTTGTGAGGCGGCGAAAGAAACCGGGTTTTTGGGTATGTTTTAAATATGATGTATTCAATGTAGAAATCGGGTAACGGGTCGAATATATAATACCTCTTTTAAGGAATTAGTAAAACGTGCAGCTATTAATGCGCAATTCATCGGTTTTCAAAACGCGGATTTCGGATATTAAATTTGGCTTTTAATGGAAATATGGGCTGAGCGACGTTACAGTTAGGAGATGATTAGCATACAGTAACGGACAAAAGTTTATCACCCTCGTTTTTCCGACCTTCTAGAGCGATTTCCCGGAAATTCCCGGCCATAAGACTTCCAATTTACTATTTACTAGATGTAAAATTACACGCTGATTCCGAATTTGACACTTTTAGAGCCGAAAAATTTTATTTTAAGGGTCAAAATCGCGAATAACTTTTTACCCTAAAACACGGTCAAAAACAAACTTTTTTCTGTGACGTTTTCGGGGTGCGCCATTGTGATATTTGGAATTTCCGATGTCAAATTAGCCGGAATAAGTGTTTTCCGGATTTTTATTGGGTGTCTAGATACCATTTCCGGAAATCGAGAAGTTAGCCTTCGACGGGCCTTTAAAAGAGATTTTTGGCGTATTTCAATAGCGGATCCGGATTCTACAGGGTCGATTACATCAGGAATAGTGTGTTTAGAATGCGAAAAACAAAGTTTTCAGAAGCATTTGTTTAGAAAGCGCAACCGCGAAAAGTCAGGTTGTGGAAAGGAGGGCTCGAAACAGGTCAAAAACGATTTTTCACAGAGTTCTCTTGTATCGCATCGGAAAGAGCACTATCGAATGTTAGAAAACATTGTTCAAAGAAGAAATGTTCTGAACTATCCGAGATTTATTGATCGGAAGCCGCCAGAAACCCAAAACCAAAAATGCTAACTTTTTAATCTGAGATTTTCGCAACTTTTCGTTAGCAAATTCGAATCTACGCTATCGAATTGCCCAAGATACATTCGTTCCAAATTTTTTAACGATTCTAACAGTCGAGAAAATTAAGAAGAAGAATTGTCGTCGACGGCCGAAAAAATGTGGCCCCCGGTCCTGCGATTTCGCTTAACAAAATGGCCAAAAATGAAAGTCTCCGTTTCGTACCATAAACAATATTTTTTTACACATTCGATAGTGCTCTTTCCGATGCGATACAAGAGAACTTTGTGAAAAATCGTTTTTGACCTGTTTCGAGCCCTCCTTTCCACAACCTGACTTTTCGCGGTTGCGCTTTCTAAACAAATGCTTCTAGAAAAATCATTTTGTTTTTTTCGCATTCTAAACACACTATTCCTGATGTACTTTTGTCCGTTACTGTACATCAAAATGGTAGTAGCTAACAGCCGAGTAGAAGAAATAAAAACGTCGTCTACTATTTTTTAAGCTATATTATTATTGTTCGCTTTTGATCTGTACTTTATAGATCTTTCCGATTGCCAAATTATGTATATTGCCGATGCAATTTATATGATCATACGCGATAGTCCGGTGACTAAAGTGAGGTAAGAAGAATTTGTGAAGCTTGAACTTATTAAATATAGTTTGATGTGCAATCAGATGCAGAAATTCCCGAAAAAGATGGTCACCAAATTGCCGGGGATCAGATGTAAGAGTTTCTCAGTGGAGCACGCAATTGTTTAGGGGTTAATTTCAACCAAAATAAAATTAGTGAACTGCCTGAGGAAGCGGGTGGCTGGAGCTTGAAGGGCATTAATGCGTCGGCAAATCAGGTTGGTTTTGGATGTTCTTATATTATCCACAAAGCCACTAAAATAATCGGGAATTAAAAAAATAAAATATTTAAAATAAAGACAACACCTTAAAATCACCTAACAATTTCTTCAAAAAAAACACACATAATTTCAGTTCACCGCAATGCCGGAAGTTGTCTTTTCATGGTCAGAATTGAATGTGCTCGATTTTGCAGATAATCAAATTAAAGGTATGGATTTTTATACCTACAAGGATTTTCTGTTATTTTAAGAATTGGATGTTGAACGTCTTTTTGAATCACTACCAAATTTGAAAGGCCTCAACCTGGCCAACAATCCCCTGACCTCTGAAGTCAAAGAACGGTTAGAAAAGTTGAAACCCGAGCAATTGATTATGCAGTTATAAAAACTGTTTATGCTTTGGATAAATTTATACTCTATCCGTGTTCATTCTTGGGAATGTGGTATCGGGTGATGGCCGAGTAAAAATACAGTACAATTAGGGCCGCGATTAGCAGCAGGCCGCCCTGGGATACACAAACGAACGCCAGGATCTTCAGGCGGAAGAGGCGGCTTTTTGGCTCTGTAATAGGGGCTTTATTGGAGGAAAGGTACGGGCGAAGGAAGAGCTTAAAAATAGTCTGCCTTTCAACTAATATAAATATCTCACCTTTATTGCCCAGCAATTTTCTGGTGGGTCCGTTTTCGGGGATCTCGTCGCCGGACAACGGGAGGCGGACATCTTGTGACTTTGGAGCTGAGAAACGGATTAGTGGTAGCATTTATAATTGCAGTTTATTTATTGCTTTTTTAAATTGTACGGGATTGGCACTTTTTAGAATTTTTAGAAAGGGCATTGTATATTTATGGTCAAACTAGCGGGTTTAGGGTATTTGGAATGTCTCTATGCTGTATGACGGAATTAAGAACAAGTGTATTTTTATATGCTTCAAATAATGCGTTGCAAAAACTAGTGTCTGTGTGTGTGCCACTTTACATGTCCGCAGGATAATCTCCGCCTTGGAGCAATTTAAGGGTATATTGATAGGTAATTAGACCCGTATTGCCCTCTGTGGATAACCGTACACCTATTAGATTATTCATAGCTAATACGGGTGACCTCTCCCTTTAATAATCTGCTATACTACGTCGTACAGCACTATACTACCATATAATTTAAGAACAAAACCCACTCCTCGTCACCGCTTCATCCATCCGTCGTCATTAGGGCAGCCAACCCCCCAAACGGTATTCCCCGGAATATAATAGAAAACCGGCCGCTAGGGTATTTAGTGGAAACCCAAAGAAGCGGAGAGCCGGCTGGTGAAAATGGGAGGAGGGAAAAGCTGCGACGAATGAGGGCAACAGCCAACAGGGCGCCCACCCCAATTCCGCAGGTGCCCAAATTGTCGCGGGAGAGCAAAAGTTCTAAAATGTATGGAGCGGAAGTGAAAAGGGGGAGGGCAGATAGATGGGAAGAGGTCCAGAAGGAGAAGAATGGAAGGAAGGAAGGGGAGCCAGAGGAGAAGCCCTGGGTAGGGTGGGGGCAATTTTTGGCGAGCAGAGGCCTAATTCGATGAGTGGCGGTCCGGTGAGGGGGGCCAACGCGTACAGATGGCATAGTGAAGAGGTCGTCAAGTGGAGTAGGATATGGTTTGGTGTTAGCGATGAAATGATATGCATTGTTATGTAAATTCAGGGGTGGGGCGGGGGAAGCATGTATTAAAGGTTAACAGGGCGGCTGGATAGGTGGCGTGGTTTGGTGTATACTGTACAGTTTTGACTGCAAAAATTCGTACCGATATTGCCAGATTTTGTTTGCTGCTCTCTTTGTTCTTACCGTATTTTATATCATATTAGCCCCCCTTGTATCACAGGCTACTTTCCAGAGCCAAAATCCATTAGTTTTACTTCCGATTTAACTATTTTGAACGATCGAAAAATATAAATTTATTTTATAGATAAAAATAGAATTATAGAATATAGAATAATATAGAACAAATATTTATAAAAGCTCCAAACATTTTTACCGATGTTGAGGAAAGTCAGACATCAGTTTTTCAAGCACTTTACCGTTTTACCAGGGTTTTGATCACGAATATCATAATTATAACAATTTATGGCTTTAATCCGATAATTTTCTTGAGGTTTGTGACAATGACCACTGTACACAAAAATGACGAAAATGATCAAATTCGTTCTGACACCTACCGTTCATGATGCAAGTGTGTTTTGGTCGGCTCATTTTCCCTAACCGCGCGATTTAGCCTATTCAGCCTTAGTTTTTGTGCCTTTTCAAATTCCCAACCACCAGCCTGCCTGGTTAATGCCATAAATCAGAAATGTGGGTAGAAGGAGCCGGCTGTGATAATCACACGGCCTTTCCGGGCATCCTCCCCACCCCCAAATAGACTCCCCACACTCACCGGCGACGAGCTGTAAAAAGTGCTACTTTGCTCACCAGCCACCTTTTTTTCTGCCGCTCACCCTTCATTCCCAACCAACAACAAAACAGACCATGTTTGGCTGCAGCTAGAAACAACAAACACCATAGGGGAAAGCGAAGTTTTGAAGGTCAATTTCATATTCTCCTTTTTATCAGCTCTTTTCGATCAAGATTTATGAATTCTGAAAAGGATCTTTTTAGGAGGCGTTTAAATATATGCTGATTATTTAAGCATCGGCATTTCCTTGCCTTCAGCAACTATCAAAAAATTGACTGCATTGTTAGCAAAAGTGACGAATTCCAAATCTAATTTGTCCTAAAAATTTGAATTTCCTATTTGACATACGTGTTTTCTCATCTTTTAACTACCTAGATATCATCCATTACTGTGGCAATTATTGGATTTTTTGATCCTTAAATTTCATATACTTATTTTTTATCTTTTTAAATGCTTTGAAGGACTGGTTGCACTCACGATACGGCCTTAAAATTTATACAGGTTTCATAGCTATAATATTTCGGAATCAGCCATCAAATAAACCATTCTATTGGTCCTCATGCCTCCCGTTCAATTTTTAAGTTAGCGCCAAAACCCGAAGTCAGGTTGCATTTTTGATAACCACTGCCCTTCTCCCCAATCGATGGATCCTCATTCGCGCCATAGATAATTGCCGGTAAGCCGACACTTTGGGCACATCGAGCGTTCCGCATTTCAAGCCCATTTACTCGGGTGGTCAGGGAGATGGACGCAACGCTCCTGTAAACGCGCATCCCGCGAACCCATGGGAATTGGGCGACGACATCGTATGTTGGCCAGCCATCCAAGGCCAGGTGTTCGCGTTCAAATTGGGCTGTATGACCTGATAAGATAGGAAATGGGCATGATTAGCTATAACGTTTTATCTTTATACCATAAATTTCATATATTCGATAAGTAGACTCTCTAATATGTCATAAGTCATTTTCAAATTTGAATTTTCTGTTTCTTTCAAGAAAGAATTTTTTGAATTCAGTATTTTCTTGACCATAAAGCCGCCCAATCTTTTGTTTTCTTCCTTTTCTACGATCCTCTGTTTAATCCTTAATTTAAATACAACTTTAACATTTTTTAGAATGCCTCGCAAAAAGAACGCAACACCCGAGGCGAAGCCACAGAAAAAGACGGTGGCCTTTAACGGAAATACAGCCAACGAGCCATCTTCTAGCAAGAAGTAATTATTGAATTATTTTCATGTTTAATTAATCAATTTAGGACAAATGGAACGCTAAAATATTCTCCATCTCAAAGCACCCTAAACCGTTTGGAACGCGAAAAAATCGTGTTATGGCGGGACCCATTGCGAACAATTTTCTACGCGCTATGTGAAGCTGTCCACTTGGTATTTCAATTTCTTAAGGCGTAAGTTATAAAAGTACTTAAAGGATGTTATGATTCGAGTATGGACATATAGAAATAATTTTAGATTGGCGCAGCAGAAAATGTTGCTTTTCCTGTTGTCAGTGGCTACGGCGTCTGCGTACTACTTCTATTTAACACCCGGTGCTCATCAGCCATATGTGCAATATGCGGAGAAAAAGATTTTATGGTAATTGTTGGGTGTGTATACATTAATCGTAATCGCAGAAAATTGTACGATATGCATTTTCAGGTGGTTGTGGTGGGTAGGACTCGGTGTGCTTTCCTCGATTGGATTTGGCTCCGGACTGCATACATTCTTGCTATATTTGGTATTACAACAAAAACTTTAATCGTCATTTCTTTGATAGGGGCCACATATCGCTGCGGTGACGCTTGCGGCTTATGAGTGCCAAAGTGTCAATTTCCCGGAACCACCGTATCCAGACAGGTTTGAATTTTTGGCAGTTATCTTGATGGATATTTCAATCTTGATGTAAATTGTATAAAACATTGGATTTTAGCATTGTCTGCCCGGAGCAAAAAGGGAATAATATAATTACGTTGTGGACGATTATTTCCAAGGTTTGCAGTTTTTTAACATAAAAAAGGTTTTGCGAGTGTTCTATCAATATTTCACTTATTTATGTTATGTTACATGTTATTGATTATGTGAATTAAATACAGATATATTCATCACTTTTCAGGTTCGAGTGGAAGCATTACTCTGGGGTGCTGGCACCGCTCTGGGTGAACTTCCACCATATTTCATGGCCCGTGCAGCAAGATTGGGCGGCGAAGAACCCGACGACGAAGAATACAAGGAATTTATGGAGCTGATGAACAAGGATAAGGTCAAGGGAGAAATGGTTCGTTCAAATAACAAATTTCACAATATATAAATTTAGTCCTGGAGCGAACGAGCTAAGAAATGGGTTGAGTTGACGGTGGCTCGGGTCGGATTCCCTGGGATTCTGATTTTTGCGTCAATTCCGAACCCGCTTTTCGATTTGGCCGGGATCACTTGTGGTTAGTTACCGTGTAATACACTTTAAAACAATATTCAGGACATTTCCTCGTGCCTTTCTGGTCGTTCTTTGGTGCCACCCTGATAGGAAAGGCTTTGGTGAAGATGCATGTACAGGTTAGAACGATCCTAGAAATTCTTAGGAAAAAAACTTTAGATGCTTTTTGTCGTGATTGCCTTCTCCGAGCATCATGTTGATCATTTGTTGCAGCTTGCCGCGAAAATTCCTAAAATTGGCGTTCAGGTATGGCTTTAGCCCAAAACGAAAAATGTTTATTTAGTTACGAGAACCGTTCAAGGACTTTCTGGCAAAACAGCGGTCAGCACTTCATCAAAACCCCGATGCCCCTCATGAACCTGTAAGTTTAAACATAGAAAAAGCAACTAAAGCCGTATTTTAGAAGGCAAGCTGGCTGCAAGACTGCTTGGGCTTGATCGTGACGGGAATGATTCTGATGTTCGCCTTATCCATCATCAACTCCCTAGCTCAACAATACCACAAACGAGCCCATAGCAAGCATTAAAAGGTATCACCACAGGACCCAAGCTTCCGACGGTGCTCCTCAAAATGCTTGCCCCACTATCTTACCCTTAAATCTGCTTCAGAATTCTATAACGCCTCCATAAAAAAATCGTTATCCTTCAAAACTGTCAAATGATATCATAAAATTCCGTATTTGCCTTTTGCTCTTTTGAGCCCCGGTCGAAAAGGGTGATGAGCTTCTTCCCCCCTTCGCACAAGTGCCAATTCCACATATTTGCGCAGTTTTCGCTTGTTCCGCTGGTCTGTGACGGTTATCCAGAGGATTTCTATAATGTGGCCCGTACTGTGATACTCCTACTTGTATTCCCACTTTTTCTGCATCCATTGACACTAGGTTTAAGGGCTCCAATCCGGCGACATGTCAAGATATATTGACTTTTGGGGTGTCCTCTGGTTTCGGATTATAAAGCAAATTATACTTTATGCGCTGCATACAATTTAAGAAATCATTTCAAGAGTTGGAATTTTTGAACAGTTGAAAGGAATACATTTACTAGAAAAGCGATCACGAATCGTGAAGAAAGGTGGTATAACATTAATGTGTTATTATTATCTGACCCCGGTATGCCTCCATTGATTCGTCACGTATCTGGCCGTCAAAAACAATATAATTTCATAGTATCCTAAACTAGAAAAGGATGGTGTTGAAGTTTGTTGCCCGATTCTGGATCCAAAATTAAGTTTCTACCGAAAATCGGACTTGCCAAGTACAGGAATAGGTATAGTATTTCGTTAGCATATACCGTTAGTTCGTAAGACGTAGGTAGGTTGGCTCACCTACATATGACGGTTCATTCTGAGTTTATTTAAACATTCTCATGCATTGCGCCGGTTGCAAATTTTCCTGGATGTGCACAGATGCGTAAACATGCATAGATAAGTAATAATCATGTAAATGGACAAGTACCCGACTATTAAAGGTGGGCCCTGGTCTAAATAGAATCGACTTATCACACTATCCCCCGATTGCACAGACTGATCGTTGAAACCCAGCTCTCCCTTTTTTTACCAACGAGCGGCTTTTCTGGGAGCGGGGGATTGCCTTGGGGGAAGGATAGACGACGGGACATGTGGACATGAGGTGGGTCTGCTGTCCAAATGACGGATCCGGAACGAGACGCCGTCGCGGGAAATGCCCGCGACACGCGACTGCGGTAGGGCCCCCATCGTCTGCTTCCTCATCCAGATGAAGGCGGAATGGGGGAATAGGCACATGGACGAAGAACGGGAAATTTGCATTCTTGAGGGACTGCTGCAAAATAGCTATTAGAAGTAATAGAGGTTGCGGGATTCGGTTTCTCTGTCGATACGTGGTTTGTCTACCTAAATTAATCACATGAATTCAGTGAAAAGGTTATAGCATTGCTTCGTCTAGGTATCAACAGCTGCGCAGCGAGCATCAAATGAGACCAAATTTTTGTAAATTTTCTTGATTTTTTAAGCGCAGGCTTGGGTGACGTTAAGGTCTCTCGCTTTTTCTTAGTTTCTCTGCAGAATTAGAAGTTCCCGAAAAACCGTGAAAAATGCCGACAGGAGCTTTATGACCTATCCAAACAGGTATACGGTACGCTACTTAATGAAGCAGTATGCAAGGCTTGAAATCCAGGCTCGAGTTCTTCAGAGAAACCTTTCAAAATCTAAAGGCGGATAAGGATGAAGCGTCTACATCTAGCCTCCATTTATTGTTGACAAAACTCCACCCGGTGACGCTTTGAAAAAAAACCGGATACAGAGTGTTTCTAGATACCGAGTCATCAGCTTTATGCTAATTAGCAGGGCCACCCTGATTCCTTTAAATGACTATTTTCTCGATAACAATTAAAAAAATTTGCCGCAAATTCGGCTCAAAACAGGTTATTTCGATCGTTCAGCTGGCTGACCGCAAAAACGGAATACGACCCCCCACTCAGCACAGATTCTATGCCTTTGATCAGAGGCTTCTAGGACTTGGGTGTCTTCGTGGGTTCCCGCGACGGCAGGTAATCGGCTTGGCAGCGGTCCCAATCCCTCACCTGGCCAGTATATTGTTTCAGAATCAATGACGCCACGCGCCGGATCAGCAATCATCGGCCCCCCACACACACACCCTTTCCGATGGCTCTTCTCGTGTATATTTGTGTGTGGTGAATGCCATCGGGGCTGTCACGTCGTCGGGTGTGACCGCTTCTTCCCTCTCCACCCCAACCTCTCCATCGGCATCTCCTTTCCGCTTCTTCCTTTTTTCGCTTTCCATCATGCGATGGACCGTTCGATGGCGGTCGTGCAGGTTGGTTGGTGGCCCCACCCCTTCCTTGGTTTTGGTCCCCTTCCTTGGTTTCGGGCCCCCTCCCGATGACAGCCCCTCCCTCGTCGCCCTATAAAGCCTCACACCCAGCACCGGACAAACCCACAGAGAAGCTTCTAGCGATATCCCCCAACACGCAACCAGCTTCCAACAGCTATGAGGTTACGGTAGGTGCCTATGGATTTTGGGGGATTTTGATATTTCTCTGGTTTTGCTGCGGGGTCTTTTTTGACCCGGCTACGGTATCTCTGATGGCATACAGGCTTTGTAAATTTGCAGTTCCATGCCTTACAATCATCAAAATACGCCCATTTTGATCAAGCATACAGTTCACATTAGTAACCTGATGTATTCCCAACGTTTCAAGAGATCTTGCCTTTTCGTCTTTTCAAATTTTTTCTGGTGTAGTCTCTCGCTTTTTTCTTGACAACTTGCCTAAGTCTAGACCGTGATTATCTTATTGTTGCTGAAAAACCGTACAATCACTCAATTTTAAACAAGGTTCCTTATCACTGAAAAAAAACGAAAAAGTTTCTAACGGCATCTCTACGCAAAACTTTTCCAATTTTCAAGTGAAGCCCGCTTTTTGTACTTCTGTACTTTCTGAACCTTTTACCCCGATGCCCAAATCCAGAGTCCATAAATCAGGATCATGATGGCTATCGCGAGGAAGCCGTTCGGAGCCCAATGTTTGCATAGGGTTCTTTCCGGCGCCCAGCATAGAGGTGTCAATCGAGCCGTCCACGGGCCAATCAAGAAAAGACAAATACAAACACCCACACTTCCCGCACACGGAGACACACACATACACGCATACGTAGACATACAGACACATACATCCAAGTCTGTTCTTGTCCCGACCATTTGAACTTGAATAAAAAAAACAGGGTATAAAATGTACTCTTAAATACGCTATATGAAAATGTATTTTTAGCAGTGCCGTCTTATGTTCCGTGCTTTTTGGTACGGCACTATGTGCACCAGCAGAAAAAGCGAAAGCGGAAAGACAGGTAGAAAACTACGATCAATAATTGGCGTACTAACCTGCGTCTACAGGTCAAGAAAACTTCGGCCGAACGTGTAGCCGACACTGTCGCATCAATGGTACTCGAAGATGATGCCGAAGATCTCGCAGAACTGAAGCGAGCCTACAAGAACGTTGTGGCGAAGAACCCCGCCGGTAGGCGAAGGGGACCCAAGGGTACGCCTTTCCTCAAAACTTTTACATCCCGGCATCAAGACCTGTCTACCCTCTCTTCCTTTCCATAATCGTGTGCAGAACTAAGCGCATGGATGTGTTTTAGCATTCTCCGGAGGTTATGGAGGCTTCGGTCGATTTGGCGGACCGATGGGCGGTTTCCAAGGAGGATATGGACAAGGACCAATGGGAGGAGGATACGGTGGAGGCGGATATGGAGGAGGAGGAGGTGGAGATATGGGAGGCGGTTATGGAGGAGGTTTGTATATATACATTTATTTACATGAACATTTTTAGGCGGCGGTGGTTATGGAGGTGGCCCAGACTTTGGTGGATATGGGGGAGGCGGTAATGGAGGATACGGTAAGACAAACCCTAAACATTTTCAAATATTTTAGGCGGCGGTATGGGCGGCGGTGGCGGAGATGGATACGGTGGTGGGATGGGCGGAGGCGGATACGGTGGAGGCGGCGATGGTGGATACGGCGGAGGTGAGCATCCGGTCCAACAAGTCTGGGAAAATGACGTTTAGGTTACGGTCCAGATTTTGGCCCTGGGCCTTATGGTAAGGGAGGGTCGATGGTGGCTACGGAAAAATTTTCCCCTTGCATGCCACAACCGGCATTCAACCCCCAATTACCCTCAAAATGAATAGGTGGCATAATGGCTGCCTGCGTGCGATCCATACCCGCTTGTCAAAAGTTCCTTACCCTGACTAGGAGAGGTTAGATAGACTTGCATTCAGAGGAGCGTCAAAATTGGCAGAAATATAGGGTCGTCGGCATCCTGAGCTCTATATTTGTGTCAATTTTGAGTTTATTCTCAGTGTAAGTCTATTGATCGTCCCTATTAAGCCATAATATAACAATAATTGAGCTTATCACCAATCTTCTAGGCGGCTACGGCGGCGGCCCAATGGGAGGAATGGGAGGAGGCGGCGGAGGATACGGTGGATACGGTGGAGGCGGCAACGGCGGAGGAGATTTCGGAGGCCCGATGGGAGGTGGCGGCGGATACGGAGGTGGCGGATACGGTAGTAACCGGCAGAGACGGAGGTGGTCATCGTGAGTGTGCCTTTCAGGACCCATGGGTGGTGGCGGCGGATATGGAGGCGGCGGAATGGGAGGAGGAGGCGGATACGGAGGAGGAGGCGACGGCGGATACGGGGGCGGAGGTACTAATCCGTTTGAACACCTTCCCCTGGCCTTACAAAAGTTCGGCTTGTAAAATTGACCCTGGAAGAAACATTCAACGATGAGTTTTCGAAATTGGTCCGTATTGGAGGGTCGTTCAGTTTCCGAAATCTTCGGCACGTTCAATGCAGTAAGGACAGGTTTTCCCGCGGATTTCTTCGCGTTGGACCTCACTTTAGTGCATCTTACTTTAGGTACTCCTATACCGAACGATCCTATAGTACAAACCGATTTTATAAAATCGTTAGTGAATGTTTCTATAATTTAAAAAGAGAGACACTCTCCCATTAATTCGTTTGTGTCCACCCACCCTCAGCTTTTTGTTTTGACGTTATCCCCGGTTATCAAGCTCATTCTTTGCCCCCCTATACCACAATGGAAAAAAGATTCAGGCTATGGAGGCGGCTACGGCGGAAGCCCCTATGGCGGTGGCGGAGATATGATGGGGGGAGGTATTGGGTCCAAACTTTAACTGAATTTTATAACTATTTGAAGGTAGCCCCTGCGGCCCCGGAGGCTGCCGTGGACGCAAGTAAACGGCCGTCAACTATTTATTAATTTATTCAATGGGTATAAAGCGGTTTTCGTTAGCTACTTGTTGTCACCCGCATAATAACAATGATGATCATCAACTATCTGCCAGCGAGACAAACACGTGGATAAGGGCAAAGAAGTCACCGCAACTTTTGACGACGGAGAGGGCCCACACCTAAATTTTTTTAATGCCGAAATAAAGCAAACTCACTTGAATTGGGATTTGAGATAAAAATGAAAGTACAAGGAGCGTGTTTGTGAAATCCCAGTGTTGAGAGCCCTAAAAATATACTTTCTTTTTATGTTTGGGAGCCCCTACCTTAGTTGATATGGCAAACGCGTAAAGTGTAAATGCCAATATATGAAATCCCAATGCAAATAAATCATATCGATAATGAATTCGTAGAAGTCCTTTGTCAAATCGAAATAGTCCATGTGTAAGGCACAGCGCAGCAATTACAGTAATCTATAAATATATAGATTTCAAGGTCTAAACCACGACATACCAAGTCAAAAGCCAAAAGCACATAGAAAAATACAGGATGAGTGATGTAAGCATTGAAAGAATGCTCGAACGGCCGCCAAAAGTGAAATTCGCCATTCGAATAGAATTGCACGAGTGTACATAGCAACGTGGTAGCCACGAAGAATGCCTGAAAATATACGAGAATCTGTGGATAAGGTTTATGAAGTTACAAACCTCAAATGCAACAACAGCTGTGCAACCACCACGCACTAAGCATGATGATAGGCAACATAACGGTTCTAATTCGAGGTGTCGCGCTTGGATTCTGAAAATAAAATTAGAATACGAGGGGGAAACTTACTTTGAGGTTATTGGTGCGACTTTATTGTTAATTCGAGCCTTTCCACATGAGCATATAAAGGCTCCGACTTGGAATAGGACGTTGGCGAACTGAATTAGGATAAAAGCGTAATGACCTGCTTACTGGTTGTGCTTGTGGAGGAAGTTTGCTGATTCTTCTATGAGCTTCATCGATTACTAAAAAATATTGAAGTGTACGGAATCAGTAGGTAACAAAATAAGTACAAGAATAGATTTTCTTTACCTTCATCAACTGGCTCCACAAGTTCTGACTCAATACCAACAATTATTGGTGGGTTAACATTATTATGAACTTCTATGCCCGGCATCAGTAATATTTAGTATAAGGGGACGAAATGTCTGTATGAAAAACTAGTTCCAAGTTGAGGGTGGGCAGCTCGTCGGAATGGAATCCGGCACCGGAAGCACCCGTAGCCACCACCAATCCCCCGGTCCACACAAAGTTCAAATTTTTTACTTCTGCACCCCCCTCTGACTTCAAAGCCCCCCCTCTAAACTTACTACGTTCTGATTCATCAGACCCGGAAGTCTGGTCAATTTTGCTCTCTCGACAATAACCATCCCGCACCCACGCACTCCGGACACCCCGTAATTATCGTCGTCGGAATTGTTTTCGCTTGGCTGCCATTTTATGGAGTGCCACTAACTCTAGGAGTCAGTCAAAACTTGTTTTCGGTTTTTACATGGCTAGTTTAATAAAAACATTTGAGGAGGGCAACTGATGAGGCTATTTGGATAAGGTTATATCAAACGCTTACTAGTTCTACGGCGTCTCCGATGTTTTTCAGCTTTTTCGCTCGATTTCCCATTGTCGATCCGGACTTCCGGTATGTCCATCTGGATTTTATTGGGGGTTGGGATATAGTTTGATACCTTTGTACCCGCGACCGGTGGTGGTTTCCAATGTTGTTCTTGCATTCTTGCCTGAAATTGGATATGTAGAAAAAAAGCCAGTTGCTAGTTAAAACGGTAAAATTTTTTAGATCAAACCAATAAAGTTAATGTTTTTGACGCCATTTCAAAAAAAAAATATAAATAAGAACATGTATCGAGAATTATTGCCGCTTATAGCTCAATTTCACGAGGAACCCTTGCCGCATACGTCCGACTGAACAGTGATCAGCTACCTGCTCACCTCCGGCTGGTGTGATGAAGCAAAAGCAACCGAAAAGGAACCCTTGCAACCGCGGTGAAGGCAAGTGGAAGCCAAGGAATCTCACGAACCGACGATGCAAAGCGTTTTTCGCCCGGGGCCCCGAATAACGGCCCTACCCAAAAATATAATGGAATGAAGGCTTGCCTTTCGGGCCGCGTCCATTGTTGCCTGCTGCGAGACGAAGCAAGTAGATGTTCTCGATCGATGCACTTTTTTGAAAAAAAGCATATGGAGAGTCAGAGAGTTGGTTCTGCCAAAGATAATAAGTATGTGGGGTTTTTGGATTTATGGCTTTCAAGGACAGCGCTTTCGATTCAAACAAAGCCAGAAGACCCAAATTCTAAAAATTGGATGTAACCGCGATATACAAATAGAATAAATAATATTTATTGGGCAGCAAAGGTTCGGTACGAAAATTGAGGCGCTACGATTAGCAGTCCAACGGTTGTAGACGCTAAAAATTAGGCATAAATCTTTGTGAAATCCCGAACTTGTCACAACCATCATAACCCCGAAGCAAAAACGATCGACAATTCGCGACAGTTCGGCCCACGTCGCTTCAGGAGTTGGCGGCTTTTGGTCTTCCTAAAGAATAAAATAAATATAATTCTTTCACTAGCTTGCCTGGTTATCTTCATTGATTGAATCCAAATAAGAACGCTTTTTCGGGGGTGCTGGCTGTCTCAACCCAGCGCCGACAATCCGTCCAATCACTTTAAAGCCGATGAAGCGGACGAATGACGGCATTCTAAAAATATGTACCGGTATTTTAATATTTTGCCTACTTGGATCGATTTTCCACACCGTGTCGTAGGTTTAGAACAAGGACAGAAAACGCAACTGAGACGGCCGACAATCCCATATTTGCCATTAAATATATTGCTGAAAATGAAGTGAGGAAAAAGCGTGTCATAAGCAGAGCAAAACTCTTCTTTTAAAAGAGCAATCTTTAAAATGTACCAATCAATGGAATCACATCACTCGTTTCTGGCATACTTTCCGCGATGCTGAATGAAAACACGGAATACGCCAGGAGCACGGTTAGTCCAAGGGTTACCTGTTGTTATTGCATAAATAAAAAAATTTCCATACCTTTTCGCTACTCTCACATGGCAAAATAAACTGCATGAGAGTAAGGATCTATAAATAATAAAATATTTTTTGCAAATGCAGGCAAAGAAATGCTGGTTGAATGCAAAACAAATCTTACCGAAAGCATAACACATGGATAAATGATATTATACATAAAATACAACATCCGCCGTCGTAGATGAAGCTCGAACACAACCACTGGAAAACTAAATAAAAATTATTTTGCATTCCGCTGGGCCATTCCCACATTCCGTGTGTGTCCTGAACGGTAAATTTCCACGTCCGATTGTCGACTATCTGAAAATGCCCTCCAACAACAATATCTTACGATTCGTACCTGCCATTCGCCATTTTCAGTGAAGGAATCTCGCGTGAAAGGCGTCTTACCATCATATCTTTCCATTATTTGCAAGTCTAATTGCTTTCCGTCGTACATCCCTGAATTAAAATAGATAAATAATCGACTCTTGACATACAGGATCGAAATTCCAATTTGCAAAATTGGTCATCAAATGGGAAATAGCTCACATCCAGGCTAAATTTTTTCATATTTCTACATCATAAATCTCACCGACAAATCGTATATACTTTTGCTGGTGGGGCAAATTGAACTAAAATAACCATTGCCAATTTATAACTTCTTACTGTCTCCGGTACTCGTCACATGCAAATTAACTTCGACAAAACCTCTTGAAAAATCTCGGGCGCTAAAAGCGATCCTTGTAATATAATTTTCTCGTATACTTGTTAAAAAGTACAATATCTGGCGTCCACATCGTTTTGGAAGATATTGACAGCTGAAAAAAGCTAAAATATTGGTCTTAACAGATACCTTTGCCACTTTTCCAAATTTTTCCGGATCCCATCGAATCCGTTCATCATGCCAATAGTGTTCCACCCATACATTTAATGCCATCACTTGGCTTCTCTCATCCTGAGACGTTTTATCAATGCAAGTAGCCAAATTTACAATATTGAAAATATGGGTCAGCGTCAATCCCATAAATACAGCGACCGGGTTTGAAGCATTGTAAATTGGGCGAACTGCACGGTCGTATCCCCAGATTACATGTCTGAATTTTTCGAATGGATATTTTTGGATTGGAATACCTATATAAACGTCGTTCGTCACCGGTTAGGCTATGAACTTGTTCAGAATAATCATGGAGCGCCAAGGGAAACTGTGCTGAAAATTATTGTTACCCTGTTGCTCTCTATTTCATCCTTTTAAATTTATAAAGCGTATTTTAAAATATAAAAGTTTACCGGTTTTTCCTGGTGGTTCCGGCATAGGCCTTGCCCCCGAATCCCTCTGACTAATAGCTGACAACAAATAAGCAAAAATTGGTGAAGATAGAATCATCGAGCCACCCGGCCACCTGGCCCCATGCTATGTCAATGCCTAAGCAGAAGCTTTTTGGGTCCCCTACCCGTCGTTTTTCCGTTAGATAAGCATATGCACGACCGACTCTCAAATAGGGCACACCGCTTGCATCCTAGCATAGCGCTCACCACACGAACATCTAAGGGCTCAACGCGAAAGACAAGGGTTCGCAGCGAAGACCTTCACAAACAAAATTTATCGGGCCAGAAAATTGAGGGCTCAATAGCGGAATATTTACGAATGTTAACATGTCCAAGAAATCCAGGTCAAATGCACTAATATAGAATTTGTTGCTCCCACGGAGACCCGCACGAGCAAAATGTCCCGCAAAAAGGCAAAAAGCCTACGACACTCGGAATTCCCAGGCCGTCTCCGATCCAAGTACTAACCGAGCCCAACGTTGCTTAACTTGGCAGATCAGACGGGATGCCGTGCTTTCAACGTGGTATGGTCGTAGGCGAAAGTGGGATGATTCGCTAGCCATTTCTGCGGTTCTGGGGTCATTTCTGCGCAACACTCCGTTCGTATCTTCCTATTAAAGGGATGCCGACGGCATAATCAATCGGTTACGCGCTGGAAAGCAAATGTTGCTGCGCCTCTCCCCTGGGCGCGCTCTCTGCCCTGTTGGCCACTTGCCAATTTGTTGATAGGGGGGATCGACACATGCCGTCGGCAGCCCTTTAACCATTATCCTCGTCCAGGATGGTTTTACTTATTCGGGAAAGCCACAAAAATATGGATAACAACGTCTCAAAATTTTTAAACAGATATGTAGTTGACGATGTTGATCATTACAATGCTCTACGAGTTTGTATAACTTGGGAGAATGACATTTTAACGTCATTTTGTTATTCTCAAACCCACACAAAGGGGAGCTTATAAAAAAAAGACTTTTTGTCAATTTACATAGAGAATCATAAATTTAGCGCCAATTCCCTCAATGGTCAATCGATTAGGATGAAACCACCCCAGACATCTATTCTTAGCAAGTATACGTTCGTTGTCAACATAGCACTTCTGACTTCTTGATTCCAAACCCCTTGGGTCAGCCCCAGAGACTGATCACCCACTTGACTCTTTATCGGGTTTGCCCGTTTTCCCACACCAAGAAGTGGGCACCCCCTACCCAGGAAGAGATGTATTCTGGGTTCAGGGCCGAAGTTGAGAAGAAGGTGAAGGCGGAGGACGACACCTCCCCCCTCGCTATGGCCCCGGGAAGCCGCCTTTTCAACGGCGCTAAACTCATTTCGTGTTTCCTTTTGATAAAAGCATCTTGGGACTGCAGTGTGCCCCCGCACCTGACTAAATTAGGGTTACGAACTAGGCTCGAGGCATCACACACCCGAGCTACTTTTTTTTGGGAGTCAATGACCTTAATGTCTAGAGACTTGAGAAGCCAAATTGATTAGAATCCCCCCCTTAATCGATTCACCTCCGCTACCATATTTGGATCAAATCCGAAAAATTCCTACAAAATTTTATCTATCTTTAGTTATAAGAATTTTACATAATGTCTTTCTAAAACTTCAACACTCCCTGCCTCCATTGTTTATGAAACGAGAAGAAGACCAGACCTTTTTCCAAAAAAAGTTTTTTTGACTTGCGAGTTGCCGGGATGTAAACAAGGCGCGAATGCCGCACTTCCACCCACTCCCCCCACTGACCTTAATTAATATTTGGTGCCTTGGCGCGTGCTTGCCTATACGTTACATTTCCATAATTTGGAACCATCTTTTATCTAGCTTATGATCAAATCACACACCCACAAACCCTCCAAATTTACCCACTTTCTATGCAATTTCCTCTCAATTTCCGGCGCTCACAAAATGGATCTCGGAGTCCAACTTCTCGCTAGAACGTTTCTGGTTTTTTGGTTCTACTTGGTTTACCAGTTCTACGTGCAGTTTAGCCGATTTCAATGCTCAAAATCTCTGTTGTTCTTCCCGTGGGAAATAATGAATCGTTTTCAATCAGTGGCCGGGCGCCCAAATAATCTAGCAGCCCCAGTGTGCGGCCGGCTTGTATGTTGAAACGGAAATTCCGGCGAAAAATTATTTTGACTGTAAATCGAATGAGTGTTATGTATGATTGGTGCTTCAGCAAGACATATAGCTTTCTCAATATAGCCATTCAACTCCTTCGTTATTAGTGTTGAAACGACACGGGTTTTGAGGCTCCTGCTGGAAGCTGCCCTTTTATAAACCGGCGTGCGAAGCAGTTTTTTCCGGTTTAAGAGCCCTTGTGAAGGGGCATTTGTACTAATTACTACGTCGTTTCAAATCCTGGTTTGAAATCAGAATTCAGTTTTGACTGCCGAAATTGATCCTGTCAAGGCGGAAGCCCGGGCGTTTTGAGGGTAATTGGTGGGTTCATATAGTTCATTGGGTAGGGAGCTGTTAGCCATTTTGCGATGGAATTCGAAAATTTTTGCTTCATTTTGGGTAAATATAAAAGAATTGAGACTTTTGATAAAATAAATAAGGGCTGCTTTGTCAATATCGTATTTAGAATTTTAAAAATTTGCATAATGTTTCTATTTATGGCTTGTATCCAAGAAGTTCAAAGTGCTGAAAAACGTGGTAATTAGCCAAACTCGCTCCATTCAACGTAGAATTTAAATCCTGGCACAGAATTTTGATATTCCAAACGTTCAGTTGTCAAAATGTGTCCCACCGTCCGATCCCTCGGCTCATATTAGAGAAAACCAGGGTTGAAAAACCGCTTCGCGGCTTTTCAACCCTGGCCCCGTCCAGGACCTGCGAAAGTCCTCAATTTGCATGCTTCTCCCTAAATTCTAGCAAGAAAAAAGTGAAAAACAGCTCCTCTGTCACTTTATATAGGCCCTCCCTACTTCCGGCGCATGCAAATTGTCTCCTAACAAAGAGGTTTTTGGAAATCTTTACAAAAACTTATTTTTAATAGCGAAAACGGCCGATTTTCTTAAATTTTATACGTGTGCACCCATCTCGGGACCATTACGCATCTAATGACGTATCAAACATACCTTAAAAACCTTCCCCTGAGGCTGTAGGTGCGGTACATACTTACGGAAGTTGCATGCAAATATACACACACAGACACTATTTTTTTATATATAGTAGGATACGGTATCAGGAGAAAAACCTCGCCCAAAAACTCACGTATTTAATACCCGAATTTAGCTCTTTGATTTGCTTTCTAAATCTGGGCATAGTTTGTGCAGGGCAAGTAGCAAAAAAGGGGTGGGTACTAGCGGGCCGGGGCTGGGCAGGCTGAAACTTTCATGAGGACAGCCTCTCCTCACCCGGACACTGCCATCCTTTCGATGTGGCCCATCCGGGGGTGAAGCTCGCGACCCCTTCCATGTGCTTTGAGCCTCTAAACACAGTCAGCCAGATGGCAACTTTTATTTATTTAATTATTTTTAAAATCTTGATATTTACTTCTTTGAATTAAAAATGAAGTTTTGAAGCCTCGGGTGAAATAGCTCGAGTAGATAATGTATCAACCAAATCGACCAAAACTTCAAAAATCGGCCAAATTTGTTCGATTTTGTCCAATTATTCAAATTCAACTTCAAATTGTCTGAAATTGCTCATAATGCCAACACAAAATGTAAAAATAGCTGTTACTTACCTTTAAAGAAATCGAAATACAATTTTGACTGGTTTCCGGGTTATTTTAGAACGTGTTTTGTTTTCGATCATCCGGAAGCAATACTTTATGAGAGCTAGTTTTGATTTTAGAAAAAGATACGGTGTTGCGTTAGCTGCTGAATCCAAAACATCAAACACCCTCGCAAAGCTACCTTTTCAGGCCCAAAATCCACCCTCTCAGGTCACACATCTTCCGCCCGAAATGCGCTACGGCCAAAATTGCCTCCGCCCCGGATTGCCATATGCGCCCTTTTTGATCCTTTTCCTTGTTACTGGGCTTAAAAAATTTCCTCGTTTCAGTCTAAAAAGAGTAAACATGCATTTTTGTGGAAAGCCGAAAAAATCGTCCGTCCAAAAACCCATTCCATCTCCATACTGAGAACCAACAAATTTCACCACTATTTACCTCGGGACGCT